AATATATATTAATGGAACCCAATCAGAAAAGTTTGGATTGTTAATGGAAAGAACATCATCAATATATATCTTAATGTGAAATTATATGATCGGGCTTCCTTGATTTACTTGTTTTTGGCAAGTGTCTGAAGGAACTCCGACTCATATGAAAATAAGAAGAGGTCGGCAAGGAAAGGCGCACAGTTCGTTCCCATAGGAATGCCGACAACTTGCTGAAAAAGTCTACCTCCAAATTCAACAAATATGTTGTTAATGAAAAACTCCAGCATACTGATCACTTGTTCCTCTGTGTAGCATGTTTTACTTTTTTGTTCACTATTAACAAAATATGCCGTATGGTATCCCAAATCAATAAATTTATAGCGTATGCTGCCATTTTTATATTGAAAAGCATTGTGGATTATTTCTTTTAGATGATTTTTCAAATTCACATGGGGAATGGTGGTATACAGGGTTAAAAAATCAAAAGTTTTGAAAGAATTAATTTCAGAGAAAGATCGAGTTTTTTAGAATCCACATATGGTTTATACCACTACGCGAGTAAACAGTTTCACAGTATTTCTGAAGACTCTCTTTCACTGCGGCCAGAATTTTTGTCAATCTAATGGACAATTCCTTTGTTGAACATGCAGATGAGCCGGCAATGTACCGTTGTTTGTACGGAATTTTCTGAAGCTTAGGTATCCAATACAAACAAGGTGAGTCCTCAGATTTACTGTTCAATGTAACGTTCACTGAAGCCATGGAGGACTTACGATTCGCTGAAATCTCATCCTTGTCAAATGATATGTTTTTGTATGTGGGATTACCCGAGTGCTCATTTATTCCTAATTCATTTACAAGACACTCATAGTAGTACGACTTACATACAAAAACAATATTATTTGAAGCTTTGTCCGCAGGAACAACAACATATTTATCGTGAAGAGATGATAGACATTTCACAGCTTCTTTAGCTCTGAAAACGGACTTTGGTCGATCATTCACACTGTTTTTCAACTTATGAATTCGTAGTTTTATCAGAGACCTGACTGTTTTGACCCATTCTGACAATGTGTCCTGTTCAACTACTTCTTCTCGTTTAACCCATGCTCTGGCATACTCCTCAATCGAATCCATAATTATTTTGAAGTTATGGTTCTAATTGATGTGTTGGGGGTTTCTGAACTTAGACCATGAGATATCACCTTTCGGAGATGTTAATGATGAATTATGTTTAGATCCCCAGTAATAACATGGCCAGAGGGGCTGTAAATATGAGCGAGTGGGAACAGTCACATGTCGGAGGGTTTTTGAGGTATTTTTCTAAATTAAGGTCCTGCAATGCTTGCTTATAGTTAAATACATTAGGTGCAATGGTTCTGGTGTATCTGTAGGATACAATAGGAACAGACTGATTTTTGAAATAAATTGGAATTTTAGATGTTACCTCCTTGTGATGAAGAACGTTGCTGATGTTGATAGCATCAATTCCTTTATTAGTAAACTTAATACGAAGGGATTTCTTCTTTTCATCATGTAAAGGTTACGATCTTACTGTTTAAAAAGACGGGAAAGAGCTACATCACAAATTATACTGACCAGTCTATATATTGGCGAAAATGTATCTATGCATCCCTTGTCAAGTGCATAAGAAACAACAGTTTTTTTACATACAAGTGAATGGTTAAGCTAGCTTTAAAACTGTCTCTCTTTCGTACAAAAATGTACTGTACCCCTATTTTTGACATTTTTACCTATTATGTCTGTTTGTATTGTTCACACCTTCTTGTCAATATAACGGAATTTTATACAACCTTCATACAAGTGAGAGGTTTAGCTAGCTATAAAACCAGATTTTATCCACCATTTTCTACATAAGGAAATGCCTGTACCAAGTCAGAAAATGACAGTTGTTTTCCATTCGTTTGATCTGTTTGAAGTTTTGATTTTTCCATTTGTTAAGGGACTTTCGTTTTGAATTTTCCTTGGAGTTCGTTATGTTTGTTATTTTACTTTTTACCGATGTTCTAATAAACAAAATGGTCTCCGGTATTTTCATTGTTAGTTTACCGGTACTTATGTATAGATGGAAAATGTAGGGAATGATATGCGCCCCATGGATTTAAAATGTAGGAATAAAAAAAAAATTGATATATCTGAGTACTTAATTACATGAGTATACTTGTAGGGCTTTGATAAAACACATGCAAGTGGTCGATAGTAATTAATTACCAAAACCTTTATTTTGATGTTAAAAGTTCATAGTATTAAGTTCATTGTTACAAATATAGACAACTTAACACTGTTGAAAATTCTTTAAAATCTTGATAAATCTCGTTTTGGTTTATTACATTAAAATTGCACCTTTTCGTGGAATATTTACGTTCGCTTTTAAAATCGCGTAAACACTATCTTCTCGTAAGTTTAATATTTAAGGAAGATCAGATATAGAGACAAGAAAACGCGAAGATAAATCAAAGCAAACACGTTAACCCCTAGAAATCGCGAAATTTAAACACCACGAAAAAAATCAACTCTACCGAACTCAAAATATGCATTTTGATCATGCGCTTCTTAGACCTGACGGGTTAGAAGTTTTTGAAATTTGATTGAGTCATCACCCAAGGGGAGTTATTGTCAAATTTGAAATTGCAATGAATCACACGACAGATGCCACTAGTAAAAGAGGAACTGCTTACCCTCCCACAGGAAATAACTTCATCATTATTTTTCTATGGATTCATGCTGCCTAATCTAATTTCACTTTACTGATGATGACCTGTTAATAACCCACATTTACTCAGATTTCCGTGCTGTTCAAATCTCTTATATCTAAATGAATATGACACAGGGAATACTACTAAATACTAATGTCTGTTACATTCTGAATCTTTGGGAACTGACACAGATACTCAAGTTCAAACTAGGATAAACTCATCATCGATACAAGGATTAAAATCTAGAATATACGACAAGCGTGATGATTTCAGCTTTCCCATTGCCAGCTTGTCATTTCCTGGCAGCATCATACTCTCTTGTCATTCAATAGCATTAACAGACATCAATTAATAAATTATGCGCTTGCATGATCACGTCATATTGACATCATTAACCGGTATGTGCTCTTGACGCAAGAACTGCTTTAGAAGAAGACATAATTCGATACTACCAAAGTTTTTCCCTCAGCATTTGAAATTTATGTGGACTTATGTATGAATTACAGATAATCTTTTTAATGCCGGCTCTTACCAAACGTGGAATTGAAGGTTTAAATCGCAGTTTCGAAAATAGAAACCTATACATTGTAAGTAGTTCTGTAAATCTCACAAGTATGACTTATTGTTCAGAACATTCATACTTTGTATGTACCTACTAAACCAGACGGGTTAAGTGCGTCTTGAAATTGCTTAAAGGTGATTATTACATTATGAACAGATTTCAATTCCATGGTCTTGTTTGGTCAATATAAGGTCAGACATGAACAACTTTCGCTGTTTCTCATTTGGTAATGAATTAACGCTGTATAAATCATGAACGCCTACACCTAAACGTTTTGAATTTTGTATTTTAACAAAATGTAAGAATGATTTGCAACTTTAGATTTACAAAAATACATTAATTAGTCGAAATATATATTATTAGTTTTATCAGATCAAAAGAGGTACATGATAAAACTGCTAATGTACATTTTGACTAATTAATGTATTTTGTAATTATCGGTATATTGGCCACGGTGGCCAAGTGCTCTAAGCAGTTGAACTACTGTATCACTAGTCTGTCAACACTGAGCTTGTGAGTTCGAATCCTGCACGTGGCAGGTGCGCCCGGCTCAAATCTTAATTGACTGGAATTGTCAGTTTTCCTACCAAAGATCGACGGCTTCCTCGAACAATACAAAATGACCGCCACGAAATAGCAGACAAGTGCTTAAAGTGTCGTTAAACACCAATCAATCATTTAATCAACCAATATCGGTACAGACTGTGTGTTTGTACCATTCGCTGCTATCAATTTACGAACCGTGGTATCAAATGTTTGGTATTAAAACACGTATATACAGGCCATATTACTTGAGCGTAAAATTTATAAAAGGTACAAATCTGATAACTTATGCCCTAGTCTCGCGTTTTTTCTACCGTATAACATGGAAGAGAATGGAAAAAATTGTTTTTACAGTCTCACTACAATCGTTGGGATATACATTAAGCAAACAAGTGTCAAATAGCGGCGAAGAAATACTAAAGGAATGTTCAAACTCATAGGTCGAATAGAAGCTGACAATGCAATGGCAGTACAGAAAACTACGTTCATTAAATACTAATCAACACGAACCCCACCATAAATGTAAGCAGATCCTGCTCCACATGTGGCACTCGACATGTTGTATCCGGTGATAAGTATCTAATTCGGTAGGTCACATTCAAGAAAAACAGAACGGGATTATAGATCCGTCAATTGGAACATATCCGTAGTCGTCTGAGAAACATATATTTCATAACTGTCAACTTACTCGTGATGACGTCCGTAACATTTCGATACGATGATCAAAGTTAGTGGAAAAACATATAGTACATAGATTTGTTAAACCAAGCTGTAAGTTCAAAAAATTTTCATTCTAAGAATATAATACTTCAAAAATTCAGTGTACTGAAATGCCGTTAATTTAATACATTTTTTTATTTTCATTTATGATAATAACACTTGTCAACACGACGGGTGCCACATGTGGAGCAGGATCTGCTTACCCTTCCGGAGCACCTGAGATCACCCCCAGTTTTTGGTGGGGTTCGTGTTGCTTAGTCTTTAGTTTTCTATGTTGTGTCATCTGTACTATTATTTGTCTGTTTGTCTTTTTATTTTTGGCCACGGCGTTGTCAGTTTGTTTTCGATCTATGAGTTTGACTGTCCCTCTGGTATCTTTCATCCCTCTTTGTCAGGAATTAGGTGAACCGAACATGATTCATACCACTGGCACATCCGATGAGAATATATGTCAATGAAATGTACAAACAAACAGCTGAAAACTTCCTTTTTAATTCATTGTATAAACAATTACGTGTTTAAATATTATTCGATAGCAAATTAAAGGAGTAGGGACGATATGAACAGTATCAACGTTACTAATTTTGGTTTTTTTTTTTCCATTTGATACATAAACATATACATTACTGTTTCATTACGTATACTTCAGAGGTTCACAGTTTTCACACCAAAATAAAACGTCACAAATAAAAGAAAAAGTAAGTTTGTCTTTTTTTGTGAAATTAAGTATATTATTGTTTTTCACATTCTTAGATATTCATATTCTCGGTAATGAAGTTTACTTTTATTGCAATAAATTCAAATAATTGGCCCTTAACGTTTTTCCTAGCTACATAAAACAAAATCAACAGTATTTACAAATAACTTCCTACAGTTTAAACATATAAATCTAGTCTGAATATTCAGTCCATGGCCAATTTGCAGCTCAGTTTTATGTGCTATTAGAAATTGTGCGTCTCTCCAACATACGCAAACGTTCTGCAAATGTAAAATAAATTTAAATCATACAAAAATACATTCACTAAAATAACCATGATTTAAAAATACGAATAGTTAAGAATTGAAATAATGTAGAAAAGTCATTCATAACATATATTAAAAGATGGTAAAATCTATATGTGCATATTTTCTTTTGATATTGTTAACATGTTCCTAGTGTAAATGTAATAACGGAGCACAAAGGTAATATCAGTTGCTTTACCTCCAGTTTTTTTTTGCAACAAACTATTTCCATGACTATGTATTGTTGTTTTAGTAAGTCCAACCTGGTAGTACTATAGCTTTGTCAGTTCAAATTTCTTTGGTTAAGGCAAATAAGTGAGCGAAATCAGTCCGTTCCGCGTGAATATCAAACGCTGAGAGGTGAAACGGTATGTGGACAGGGTAAGCATTTGTTGCAAATTTGACAAACAAAGAAATGTGGATCTACTGTTTCAAAGGCCCATACTTGTCAACTCAATTGTCCGTTCATATTTTGCAACAATTAATTACATGTGTAAGCTTAATTGTCATTCATATGACATTACGTATAATGCAGGAATCAAAATGTAGCCAGCTTGTAGTCAGTTTGTGTTTTTGTTGTTTGCAGTTTACCTTAACTTTTGTCAAGATATATCATAGTCTAAACGGACGTTAGCTGTATATTTTTATTTCTGTGAATCGTATAAAAGTAGAAATACATTTACCCTTTGCCACCGCACTCTGGGCAAAATCTGAAAATAAATGAAAATGCAATTTTATTTTAAAAAGATATAAAAATGCATTTTTATAGAAGTTTGAAGAATTTTACAATATAAGATGTTGTTTACTAATCCCTTATTTATGTGCCGTGTTTCTTTCATACAACGATATGAACGGACGATGACCTTCCCCCAGCTGATTTAAGATTTAATGTGTGTTAGAAGCATCTCCGCGCTATTTATCAAACCTGTTATGTAAACAGACCCAGAACGACTGATGAAGTAATCTAAATAATAATAATAATAATAATAATAATAATAATAATAATAATCCAATGGAAAAAATCTAAATAAATCAAAAATGAAAAATCTTTAATATATTAACATAACAAATAAAAACACAATAAATAAAATACATATATAAAAATTGGCGTTACGGGCAACATGCCTATGATTGATATGTATTTAAAAAAAAATAAAATATTTATCTCAATAAAGAAATTAAATTCACATTATTCGAGCATCTATCGCTGCAACTGCAATAGACGATAGAGTGTAGATGTATTACTGTGACTTCAAATAACTTAGACCATAAGGAGAAAGTTATAAGCCGCTTGAGTATACATCTAACAGAAACATAACTCGTAGAGTATTAAATGAAACCTCAAACAATGTGAACTTAATAGCAAAGAGAGCCTTTAATAGAGAGTATTGACAAGAGCTCGAAGCATAATTCGAAGAACACGTGTTACTTCGAAATATTATACCTCTCTACGCGTGACATGTTGAGCGCTGGCCCATCCCATGTCAAACATAGGTAACTCAAGTATATTTAATACCTACTCTAAAATTATATACCTGCATGTTGAGCGCTGGCCCAGCCCATGCTTAGAGGGTATGGGCTCACTTTGCAACCTGAGACGGATAACCTCGAGCGAAAAAACCATTTGCACACTAAAACATGTATCCTAAAGAATTGTCAAATGGACAAACAAATTATTCGTTCATCCTCTTTTTCATTTTTTTTTTTTTTTAATATAACTGGTTAAAGTCAAACGTCACAGACTAAGGTCACATGATAGAAATAAGGAACTTTCATTGGCAAAATTGAGTTTCTACATGCTGTATTGTATATGATAGTTTCATGCAGACGGGTTTTTCGTTTCGCGACATTATTTTACAGATGTTCAAACCTTGCGAATCGACTAAAAAGAGACAGATCATGGTAACAAACAAGAACTGAGAGAATCGCTAAAACAATCTGTTTAAAGATGCAACTGTTATTATTATATTAAAAATCTTAATTTTTTTTAAATTAAGGGAGTTGTCTGATTTAGAAATATGAATAAAAGAGATTTTAGTATAAGTCAATACAACAGCAACCCTTTGACAAAATATAATGTAATTAGAAGACATACAGTCTTGGAAACATGGAAAGGTGTCTATATTTCCAAAGACATGTTTATAATTCAATATCGAATTTGGATGGATATTGAAGGACATTTAGCTCAATTAACAATTAACATTATGTTTTGCAACATGAACGAATAGGAACTGAATTGATATAATTTGGTATCATCCATATTAGAAGGGTAAAACCAATATTTCATATATTCCATGTATAATACAAAAGATTGTAATTATTGGGACAAAACGCATAAGAACCTTGGTATTCATTCAATGTAACAATGCTCGTCGTATTTTGCTTGCTTGAGCAATACGACGGATGTCACATTCGGAGCAGGAAATGCTTACCTTTTCTTTGCTGAATTTATTGAGAATTTTTATCAAAATTCAAATTTTTATTATAAAGGGAAAACAAATAACTATATCTTTAAGTATCCATCAATAATAAAGATTACATCGGATACGCCAGAACAAAACCGTCGGTCGCTCGTTTTTTTATGAAATGTTAGCTTAATAATACACCCTCATATTTGTAATAAAACCGTATTATTGTGCTTGTTGAAATACTCCCCACCCACAACCATGCATAAACTATTATTAATAATATATATATTTTAAAAATTTGATCTTATCTTATGACTTATGAGTTTCATCCAATAGTTATTGCAACTTTGGTGTGTAAAGCCATTTTTCGTAGTTTACACAAGGAACAAAGGAAGACGTACGATCAGAGCAAGGATGTTACTTGGTAAATGCATAATAATTTTTTTTGTGTAAGGATTCTAAGGGCCATAAAGTTGACTATCATAAGTGCTCCTTTAAGTTTAAACATTTTCAATACCTTGTAATGGTTTTAAAACGCCATACAAACTCTTAGCTTTATAATGCTAAATTTGATAACTTTTCGACGACAAATGTTATAGGTCATGCAATCATACCGAATTGCTTGTTTTATGCAGAATATTTATTATTGTATTGTATTGTGATGTATTGTATTGTATTGTATTGTATTGTATTGTATTGTATTGTATTGTATTGTATTGTATTGTATTGTATTGTATTGTATTGTATTGTATTGTATTGTATTGTATTGTATTGTATTGTATTGTATTGTATTGTGTCGTAAAGTATAGTATCTGTTCCATTGATGTAGATCGGTTATCTCCGTTTATCCGCTTAAATCTAAAATGCTTGAAAGTGTTCTGTTAAAACTCAAAAACTATATACATGAGAAAAGAGAGGCGGAAGATACCAAAGGGACATTCGAAAACATAAGTCGCAAACAAACTTACAATGTCATGGCAAAAACATGACAAAAAGACAAACAGCAGTCTACAAAACACTACAAACATCAGGTATCCAACCAAAAGACCAGGATGACATCAGGTGCTCCGGACGTGTAAGCAGATCCTTCTTTACATGTAACACCCTTCGTGTTTCTCATGTTAGTACACAATTATCGTATGTCCCATTCGCTGAATTCACTTTCGAATAAAACGGGACAGGATGAGAGATACATTGTTCCCTTCAGTAACGTTGAAATCAAATCAATCGGCAGGCTACATAAAGTACAAAAGATGTAGGGCATTTAAATGTTTTTTTGGTATTAGCAATATGCAATAAAACATCCCGAAGGAAATTAAAAAATCCAAATAGACTCATCAGTGGTGCTCGAATCGCAGAAATGAAAGGCAAAAAAAAGTACGAAGTTGAAATAAAACATTTTAAATGGTTAATCCCCATCCAACAGTTAATATTCTGAACATTACCCTATCGATATATTTTTTATATCAAAGAAAGGGAATTTAAAATTCCAAAACGGGAATGAAAAATCATCTCAGACTCATTTTGATGATCGAATGAAAGGCCCATCCAAGTACGAAATTGAATAGCACTGAAACAGAAACCCCCAAACGTTGTACCAAACTAACAATGACCATCTATGCATGGTTATTAAAAATTTAATAGTGCTTCGAATGAATTGAAATCTTAAGAGAGGGACGGGTTTAGCTGTAACGAATGTAGAAATACACAGTGACTTACGGTGTGAAAGGAGAAGTTAAATTTGATACCTGATGTTTTTCCCAACATAATAAACGCTTTTTGTCAATGTGCAGTTTAAAGTTTAACGCCCTTCTTCAAGGTCTAGCCACTGTAAGAGCATATCCATATGTTGTTTAGTTAATTATTTACCTTCCTGAATATACATGAAGTATTTCCACTGCGAGTTAAGGTAAAATCAATCAATCAATCAATTCAATAGTAACATATTGTATATGTCGATATTATTATATTGTCCTGATCAAATTTGTAACTTCCACTCAGAAGATGCATATACAAGTATGAACATAAACTGATAGGATCGCATGAACTCCAAAAGGATCGCCACCGAGTTTGTCGAGTGGATAATCGTCTCCTGTTATGCATGCATCATCCGCAATACGCATGCATACTAAGTAAAATATTACGATCGGGAACAGGCTACAATTAATAAATTAGAGATCACAACTTTTCTGATAACTAAAGATCCAAAACCGCAAAACAATGACGCTAGTGACTTGAGACACATATTCATCGTATTTGTAAACCTTTTCCTGAAAGTCACCACGAAACATATATAGTTTCGATTTCGCGCAAATCAATTGTTAGGAGCACATCTCTGTTAATGAAGTCCGTATATTTCAAGATAGGAAAAAGCGTAATGAACATTATAGGATGAAGATATGTTTCTGCAGAGGAATGGGATGTTGACAATCTTCAAAACTGAAATCATCAAACCGCAGAATAACAACGAACATCTTTCATTAACGACAGACAGCACAGGACATCACAAACAGTGACGTATTTTTGTAACGAATATATAATCTAGAAATTCATACAATTATTTTCACAATACTAGTCCAAATAATTTGCATGATTATGACGGTATTGAAAGGCTATTTTAAATGAATGCTGTGACGACGTCATAATTATTTGGACTAACACAATACATGGAAAATAGAAATTAACTCGACTATACTGACAAATAAGACATATGTGAAATGTACCGAAAGTACAGAATTCAAACCACAAACGATAAGACATACAAATGTAACACAATATCCAACGGAAACCACAACAGAAACATCATAAATAAATACATGAATGTTGGATGTATAAATACCGAGACACGTCGTATAGCAATGCAAATTCACACTCGGCAAAACAGTCATATTTGGGAATAGGTCACGTTCGGTACTTAGAAGACAGACGATCCTTAATCCTAAACAATCTGTGGAGAATATACATGTATTTTTAAAACATATATAATAAAGAGATGTGGTATAAACACCATCGAGATAACTATCCACTATAGAATAGTCTTCAATATGATACTTACAAAGGGCTGAAATTAAAACAAAAAAAGATTATTTAGTACATTAAATTCAATTTGTTCTTGACTCAGCATAACATAATTGTATCACATATTTGGCACATGCTTTGAGCTATATTTTGATACAGCCTTATTATAACTTATGATGTGGGCAGTTTGGTAGGAATTTATTTAATATGATACGAACACAAAATTTGTTGATTGATGAACAGACATACGGTATGAGTTTTTCTCATTGTTGAAAGGCGGTACGGTTGCCTATAATTGCTTACCTCCATTTCCTTTGAACTTTGGTGGATTGTAGTCTCATTGGCAATCATACCACATCTTCTTATTTTTATAAAATAAATAAAGCCAAACAAAACAAAAACAAAACCTCCCAGTATATTATAATTTAAAACCTTGTCTATCAATATGATACTTTTTTGTTGAAACACAATAATGAAAAAGTAGTGCATGTAAAAGAGAGGCGAAAGAGACAAAAAGGACATTTAAACTAAGAGCTCTTGAAACCGTTCTCACTGGTAATTTCAAGAAAGCACTCAATGTTTCGTAAGACAAGCTAAATGGAAAATGTATGTAAGGGAAAAATATTTACATTGATTGTGACATTAAAATTTATTCAGATAAAATACCTATTTTTACCAGTGTAAAAGGCTTAATTACTGCCGTAGGAGGATCTCTAAATTTCTTTGTGTTATCTATTTGATTATGCTTATTGTTTCATTGATGTTATCACCAAATCAAACGAAGGTAAACTGTCACATATGTCCACATCACATTTGTATCATTCTGTACCATCTTGTTAATCGTTTTAATGTATAGCAGGACAAAATAAAACGATTGAACACCAAATACTTGATATCAACAGTCATATAAATGTTATAACTTTGTCTATGTCATGAAAAAAACTATATTTTTTAATGAATATACACAACAACAAAAATGTTATTTACCTACCTATGAAATGTTATTGTAATCTCATGCCTGAAATTATAAAAAAAAAAGAAACGAAATGTATCTGGTAATTTATTTCTAACAAATTCGACGGAATCTTTTTTTTTTAGGACTTTCAAAAAAATAAAATTGTACCTTCCAGGTGAAAAAAAAAATCCTTCTTATAAATATTTTAGATCTGTGAGCAAAATTACTAGTTCAATCATTATAATAAATATCTGTATACACAAGAACATTTATAACGTTTTAACGCATACAATCAGTTTAAAATAATTCAGGGCATTAAGGAAACTGGCATACTATTTTGTAAAAATAATTAAATGTGGAATGATTACCAATTCGACGAGATAACTATTGATAAAAAAACAGTCGATAAGAATACAATATTTAAACTTTACTGCCTCGGGGTAGGTACACGAACATGTAAAAATGTACGTTGACGTTATAATGTGTTTGCTTATTCCTCCACATGTTATCTTTATCAGTGGAATAACATTGGTTGCAGAAATAAACGCACAAGGAAACATTAGAAGTGGATGAGCACATTTTTATTTCAAATATTTTATACTCCACATGTGTTCCAGGAACCCCTCATTAGGTATACACAAGACGACGATTTTAGATAAAACAAAAACTATAAAACGTTTGAAAACTTAAAAACTGTAAAGTCTAAATTTCCCAAAAGAGTTACAATCTTAGTTTCATTCATTAACTAATACAAATAATAACAAATGTATCATTTCAATTATGCCAGTACAGAAGCACTAGCTGGTGATGAGATTATTATTTGGGACTGAGAGACAATCAATAGTAGTACCGACCAATTTGAATGATGTTAATGAAAACAACACATTATAATTTCTTCCGCCTGAAGCTTTTCAATATATACCTACATCAGGAACGCTTAAGCCTAAAACTTTTAAAGCCAGGGATGTATAAGCGTTTTATAGTATTATATGAAGACTTCTGGCGTACAAAATAATAAGCCTTGTATCCTTGATATGCTTTACAACCACCAGATCGATAACAGTGCTAGTCAAAGATTCCTACCTTAGGGTATCATCAGCGCAATGATCATCAATTTTGTGTTGGCATGGAGTGCCGCACAAATGTTAGTTTTTGGTTTTCAATGCTCTTAAATTTTGTTTTGATGTAAGCGTCACTTACGAGTCCAATGAGGCGACAAGCTTATCTGGGGAACCAATTATAAGCCTTGTAATGTGTATGTGCATTTTAACCTATTTCTAGGCTCACGGCATAAAGTTTAACCTTTTCCTAGTTTACTTTATAGACAAAACCTGTTTAAACCTAAATCATAAAATATGCTATAGGTGAGAATCGGACCTAAATTCAAAATGTTTTCAAAGATTTATAATTAAACAATTTAAAACTTTGTGACTTTTTGTGATCGCTTGCATACATTCAACTGAACCTGATAAGAATTGATACAATAGATACAGTCCTATGCGGTAAGTTCATTTGGGTTGCATGCCAATGAGAAAAAAATTTACAACTGTATAAAAAACGAGGATGTTAACAACGACAAGCGACTCTATGACCTTTAACAATAAGCAAAACCTTTACTGTATGGTAATACTGCCCTGCATAATCTACGAAAACAAATTAGGGTAGACGGCAGCCATAGACAACGACTGCATGTGCAGGCTCCAGGCATTGGATAGACACATTATGACTATGGCGGGATCAAACATGTTTATGAATACTCAACACTTCCCTTAATATGGAACAGTAGTGTAACAACATTTAAAAACCAAACAGCCTATTAATTTCTACCTGTGATTTTTTCTTAAAATTTTGACAGACGGTATTACATGAATTTAGGAATAAAATATGATGAAAAAAATTGGGGGTTACCGACTTCGTTTCGTCACTATAGCAACCCCAGTTTCGTGTGATTCCGCAATATGAACATTATTTAGTTGTTGTTTATGATTTCAAATAATCCAATATTACCGAACCTACAAGCATAATTTTTTTTTCACATTAAACAGTAGATTTGTATCTATCAATTTAAGATTATAGAGTTAAAGATTCTTGGTGGTTTGATTTTAAAAAGTATGATTTATTTCATTCCCGCCAAAAATAATACATAACAATGAAAAAAGTTTCCAGTATTAAAAAATATCTACCAGTGATTTCTTCTTAAGACTTGCAAGAAAGAAAGTGCTTTGTGTCCTCTTTCAAATAAAGTCACAAAAACTATATGTCACCGACCTTTCCAAAAAGTTATGAGTAATTTTCGTGTTTTTTTTTTTTTCATTTGTTTTGAAGAAAAGAGTTGTCTTTCTATAGACCACCGAACCTGACGTCATAGTACAAGTTTCCCGTAATTTTCGCAAATTAATTTAAAATTTTCAATAATATCAACAATATACACCTATTTTATTATCTATAGTATAATACAAGAGATCAAATGTATGCATCAGTATTTGTCAGATCTCATTCTGTAGCCTCACTAAACCGAGAATCTCAGCTTTGAAATAAGCTTCAAAAACACCGTCGGTGGAATGTTATATTGTTCGACTCTGCTTTAAAAAAAAGTATGTGTTTCTCCTCCCTCTCTTTGACAGAATAATTGAAAATAAAAAAAAAATGAAAATGGAAGATGACACTGCCACTGACTAACTTAACTATTAGTTTTATTAGTATTAGTTTTGCTACTTGTTGAAAGCCGTACGGTAAACTTCTATGTCATTTGACCTCTGGTGGATAGTTGTCTCGATCATACGACATCTTCTTATTAGCATTTTAGACTATAGAGTGTTGACGGACGGACAGAAGCACGGCCGGACTAGTTTATACCATGCAACTTTCTGACTTAGTCGGGCGTGTAAAAATACTTAGGCTATTAATACTTAGATGTAACATGTAAATGACCTTTTTATAAAATACGATTTCTGTTAATACTCTTTCACGGGCCTTGAATACAGTAAACACAAAGTACAAATAAGCCGGAAAAGACGTATATATTAACCATTTCGTTTGAACTGAAAGAAATAATTTTCCATTGGAAACTATAAATATTTCTCAAAACAGAATAAATGTAAAAGATTACAGTTTTATGAATTTGAATGTCCTTTTGGAAAAAAAATGACAACGTATCGAAATTTGTTTTTAATCTTTCCAGTCATTGTAGCTTCTTAAAAGTGATTATATTCCCGGAGAAATATATTAATAAGTTAATAAATAAAAGTTTTGCTGTATCTTATTTTTTATTGACTGAACGTATTTTGACGCGTACATCACATTGAAATCCGTAAAATACGCGAAATGGGACGTTCGTATCTGCCGCATTTTGCCGAGCTGGACACAACGTCATAGAGCTTTCATGTCACAATCAAGTTGCGTTAGCTGATGCGCATAAACAATAGGCTGTTTGGTCTTTAACCAAACTGTTAAAACTTGATTCTTACTGTAAACTTATCTCTTGTCCATAAGGGAAAGAAGGCTTCTATTTGTATTACAATCCAACACACCATTCACTAATGCATGCTTAGGTTTTAAGCATTGAATGATCGTCATCCAAGTTTATGATAGAATCTAAATGTAAATACTAATTCGACTGTTTATTTGCAGGAGGTCCAAAAAGTATTAACAAAAATACAGAAGACAATTTCAAAATAACGAATTCCATAAAAACTGACAAAATCAAATACTATCATTTAAACGGGACAAGCTATATAGCTAGCTAAACCTCCCACTTGTATGACATTTATTTAAACGATGTTAGAATATATGATGGCCATACATAAAATGGTTATGCCAGTTATCACATTGAAAAACAAGATTCTTCCGTTTCTGAAACATGGCCATATTGAATAAGACAGCCTTCAAAAGATATAAACATAGATAGCATGTATTTCTATTTCATCCGGTACGTATTTGAAATATTTATGAGCCCCCTTGCATGTATTCATCCTCTTATACCTAATTTAAAAACCTATACAACAGATATCGAATTTAAAATGAATTTGATAAGATATATCTAATGCCTGTTTCGGCTTCAAATCTTATTTGAAATGTATATGATGAGATCATATCTATATTATTTCACCTAATGTCGTATTTCAAATATATATGAGAACCATGTGCATTTCTACTACTCTGATATCTCAATAAAATATATTTATTGATATATCGTGCATTCCTACTATCTGAAATCTTATCTGAAGTTTTATCATAAACAAATTCCCTTTTTCAAATGACAGACTTCATGAATACATGACGTGGTGGTGGATACTACTTCTAGGTTTCCATACTAAAACGGAAAAAAGATACTACAGGTATGGAGATTTTAATGAAACATTTACAAACGTTTTAATTCTGGAAAATTAAGAGGTACATGAAATAAATTTCATACATTTATTTTCATTAATAACGGACCTTGAATGCAACAGGGACCCCGTCTGTTGTGTGTTAATGTAGTCTGTACTTCAAATAAAGGTCAATGTATTCTGTTATATTTGCAATCAAATTATTTCATCGAACAAATAAATTACCCGCATGTGCATCTATAAACACTTCTTGTATCCATCATCTGCCAATGCACTTCACCTCTGTAAAATTTCAGACAAAATAAGTAGTGTGTTATCGAAATGACAAAGCTGTATAAAAACAATATTTTGTTATGGTTTTAAGCTTTTTATTTTATCATTCACAATCTAAACAAATTTTATGTGGTTCGTTAATTCTTTTTTTTAGGGGAATTAGGATGTCGGTAGAAGACGTGGCCTACTTTTTGTCCAATATTACTGGTAATTCCTGTTAACCTTATTATGTACTAGTATTATCCCTTATATTATTGTGGTTATTGTGTGTGAAGTATAAGATTATACGTCCTTGTAATCACTTCGAAAATTTTACGAACGCCATCACGAGTTGTTTAACCGTTGTGGAATATCTGTTTCACAAATGACGACGGACATGTTCCACTTGTCGTAACCAAAATCCCGTCCTCGTTTCCCCTATGGGACCTACAGAATAAGACTTATCACCAGCTTTGTACTTACATAATCAACACGAAGGGTGCCACATGTAGAGCAGGATCTGCTTATCCTTCAGAACATATGAGTTCATCTCCCGGTTTTTGGTGGGTTTTGTGTTACGCAGTCTTTAGTTTTCTATGTTGTATTTTATGCAATGTTTTTTGTTTTTTGATATTTTTTCTTTATTTGCCATGCCGTTGTCAGTTTATTTGCGACTTTTCAGTTTGAATGTCCCTTTGGTATATTTCGCCTCTCTTTGTTGTGTGTGTGTGTATGTGTTTGTGGGTTCTAGCTTATCGGTACACTATCCGTTTAATGTGTTATTCAATTCTTTGGCTTAATTTGATAGAGTATGTGTTGCAAATTGTTCAAAATAAATTTTATATGGAACGATAATGTAGTTACCTTTCTGGTGCTGATTCTGACTGTATACTGTGAGTTTCACTGAAATCAAGCAATTTAGAAATTATCTAAATAATTCTACGTGACAATATATCAAATATACAATACTATATTCCAAATACCGTTTCGATTCCTAACATCATTAAAGAGACATTAATTGTCGAAATCCAGTTATGGTGTACCAATGTTTGGACCTTATGTTTGTGGTATACCATCTTTTCTGCAAGTTCATTGTTTTCTGTCTGGTATTAAATTGATAGTTAAGATCCATTTTGTTACATCTGGTGATCCGTTTATTTGGCAATCGCCATGGCAGTCAGCAGGGTTTAAGAACATCTGTTGTTCGACCTGCTAGTCAAATGCGTTTTGTAAAAAATATACTTTTTCACTTTTGTTGTCTTTTGGAAAATGTTGTTTGTGCTGTATTAATACCCCTCTACCAAGAAATTTGATTTGCTTGCACACGTATAAAAATTGCGGTTTTTGTCAAACACAATCATAGGTTTGAACGTTGTTTTCAATTTAGACTTGTAGATATGTATATATGTATATAGATGGATTGAATGTTACTGGTAATCCCTGTTAACCTTATTATGTTCTAGTATTATCCCTTATATTATTGTGGTTAATGTGTGTGAAGTATAAGATTATACGTTCTTGTAATCACTTCAAAATTGTTAAGGACGCCATCACGACTTGTTTAATCGTAATGGAATATCTGTTTCACAAATGACGACGGATATGTTCCAATTATCGTAACCAAAATCCCGTCCTCGTTTCCCCCAATGTGACCTACAGAATAAGACTTATCACCAGCTTTGTACTTACATAAGCAACACGAAGGGTGCCACATGTAGAGCAGGATCTGCTTATCCTTCCAGTGCAAATGAGTGCACCTTCCGGTTTTTGGTGGGTTTTGTGTTACGCAGTCTTTAGTTTTCCATGTTGTAATGTATGTACTGTTGTTTGTCTTTTGATATTTTTTCTTTATTTGCCATGCCGTTGTCAGTTTATTTGCGACTTTTCAGTTTGAATGTCCCTTTGGTATATTTCGCCTCTCTTCGTTGTGTGTGTGTGTATGTGTTTGTGGGTTCTAGCTTATCGGTACACTATCCGTTTAATGTGTTATTCAATTCTTTGGCTTAATTTGATAGAGTATGTGCTGCAAATTGTTCAAAATAAATTTTATAAGGAACGATAATGTAGTTACCTTTCTGGTGCTGATTCTGACTGTATACTGTGAGTTTCACTGAAATCAAGCAATTTAGAAATTATCTAAATAATTCTACGTGACAATATATCAAATATACAATACTATATTCCAAATACCGTTTCGATTCCTAACATCATTAAAGAGACATTAATTGTCGAAATCCGGTTATGGTGTACCAATGTTTGCACCTTATGTTTGTGGTATACCATCTTTTCTGCAAGTTCATTGTTTTCTGTCTGGTATTAAATTGATAGTTAAGATCCATTTTGTTACATCTGGTGATCCGTTTATTTGGCAATCGCCATGGCAGTAGTCACAGGGTGACTTTGTTTACTCACATATATGTTGTTATTTTGGTTGTTAATTCTATTTCGATTTGCTGAACGTCAGTATCTTATAAATGCTATATTCTGCAGACTTCGGTGTATAATACATGTCCACATTTTACATCTAATTAATTAAGTAGTGTCCACTATTTACTTGGGCATTTACCTGTAAACTTGTCGAACGGGTTGAGTAACAGTGATACCTGTATTTGATGAGCTGACTATTCACTCTCAGGTAACACCTTAACGAGTCAAGGTGTGGTCAGAAATGTTTGTATAAAGTTAGTTTACAATGTGGCGTGGACACACACACTGGATTTCTGAGGTAGGATTCAATTTATTCTTATTTATTTAATCATTATTCGTTCTAAAGTGTTCAGTTTTCTGCAACAACGCAAATATAGAATAATTATTTCAATTGTAATTGTAATTTTTGATATTGCTATTTTATAAATGTAATAAGTTAATTAATGTTCATTATAATGAAAGTTTAACACGGTTATATGTTTCCGGCTGTAGTAAATATTCGAGTATCGAAATTGTTTGGTATTTTAGGAACGTTTGCGTACGATAATGCAATGATGTATGTATCTCCATAAGTATGTAAAGTAATATGCAACGTATAAGCATAAATGTATATTCAGCGTTAAAAGCTGTATATTGTGTGTAGTAATTGTATAATGATAGTATACAATAAAGTCAATTATGTGACTTGTAAAGTAAGGCATTGTACGATATGCCGTAGTTTGTATTGTGTAAAGTAAGGCATTATACGATATGCCGTAATTATTTGTGTATAAGTAATGCATTATTCAATATGCTATAATCTTCTATAGATTGAACATAAGTAGTCGTACTAAGTATTTGTCATTATTTATGCGACATGTGTAATACATAAACATATGTATATTTCTTAAGTATAGTATTGTATCTTAACGTACAGTATGTATTTCAATAGGTCCCAGTTTGCGGGCTAGGTGTATGTAGTTTTGTATTGTAAAGTATGGAGATATAGTACAGATGGTGGTGAAACCTGTTGACAGTGCGGCGTTCCGTGTTTATCATCAATAGTTTGGCAACATAGAATATTTGGAGTCGAGTCTAGACAATAGGGCAGCCGTAATGTGTACACCGCTTATGTTGGGCCAGTTTTGTGTAGTTACCGAAAACCAAATACGTAAAATTCCGTAGTATCGTTTATCCAGATTTCATAGTTTAATATAAAGAAGAAGGAACAGTTCATTAAACATTTGACAGTATTATTTCATTTGATTTCATCTATTTATATTTGTAAATTTGTACCTAATTAAATTGTTATTTTGTTTAAAGTAGTAGTCATTTATTATCTGTAAGTACAAACTCCTAAGTCAGCTCTCGTCTATCCGTGACAATTGGTGTCAGAAGTGGGATTTGTTTAAAAGGCTTAGAGAGTTTTCATTAAATTTAAATTTTCAATCTTATGTATTTTTGATTGTATTTTTTTTTTCACCATGTATTTTTCCATTTGTATTGTTTTATTATATGTTTGAATTGTATAGCTTCAGGTGTTTGTGAGGAGAACTGAATATTTGGGACCCAGATTTCACAGTTGTGTCTATGTTGGTTCGTGCCTTGGAGGTTTGGTGTTGTTTCTGCTCTACATTGTAAACTGTGAGTATCGGTACTTACATATATTTAGTAATTGATTGTAGTACAATGAGGGTTGCAGTAGGTACATTGAGTGCTGGCGTTTTGTTTTTATGAAATTGGTGTTTGGTTTGTTGACTGTTCAAGATGGAACAGATTCAACAGATTAGAGATTTGGGTACTTCATTAGGGTATGAAGATGATGAGTTGAGAAGGTTTGTTAAAGATCAGCAGGATAGGGTCCGAGATGAAAGGGCTGCTTTAAGGCAAGAACAGAAAGACGAACGAGATAGAAAAGCAGCTATAGAAAAAGTTTTGATTGAGAAAGCTAAGGTTGAGAATGAATTGGAACTACAAAAGTTGACGCATAGTCAGAAAATGGAAGAGTTAAGTAAACAAGCTGAGTTACCACAATTAGTAAGTACAGGGGGGTCACATGATACAGTTCGTAGACCTAAAATTCCAGCTTTTGAAGAAGGTAAGGATGAGATAGATAGTTATCTTAGGAGATTTGAGCGTTATGCTACTGCTCAAAAGTGGAAACCTGATATTTGGGCCACTCATCTTAGTGCGTTATTGAAGGGCAAGGCTCTTGATGTATATGCACTTATGCCGGTTGATAAAGCTCTTGATTATCCAGCTTTGAAAGATGCTCTACTAAAAAGGTATGATATGACTGAAGAAGGATTTAAACGTAGATTTAGAAGTTGTAGACCAGAGCCAGGTGAGACTTTTATACAGTTTTCTGTTAGGTTAGATAGCTATTTTAAGCGTTGGATTGATATGGCACATACAGATACTACTTATATAAGTTTGTATGACTTGATTATACGGGATCAGTTTCTACATATATGTTCGAAGGACTTGTCTTTGTTTTTAAAAGAGAGAATACCAGATTCTTTAGAGAAAATGGTAGCTTTAGCTGATCAGTATCGTGAGGCAAGACAAACAAGTGCTTCCAATCTTATAGATAAAGGTAATCAGTCAAACACATCTTCAGTAAGAAACCAAAGTGGTTCGAAACCAGTTGATTATAGTACAAAGAAAGAACAGAGAAGTATAAAACCAACAGAACGTACTTCATTTGTACCTAATAGGGACAGAAAGTGCTTTAGGTGTGGTAAGAATGGACATATTGCAACGGATTGTAGAGTTAATCTACAAAAGACCAACAGTGGATTGTCAGACGATAGAAAGAATTTTAAAGGTAAAGTATGTAATACCTGTACTATACCTACAGATTCTATAGTAGATGCTATTCCTACTGGTTGTACAAGTACACTTCCGTTGTCTTGTCAGTCAACCGCAAATGTAAGTATGCCTGTAAGTTCAGGTTATGTTGATGGTAAACCAGTCACGGTTTTACGAGATACTGGTTGCAGTGGTATTGTGGTTAAACGTGATATGGTTGGCAATGAGTCATTAACGGGTGGAAAACAGGTATGTATTTTGGCAGATGGAACCAGAGTTGAAGTGCCAATAGCTAGAATTGATATAGATACACCATATTTACAGGGAGAATTTGAAGGATGGTGTATGGCTAATCCTGTGTATGACTTGATAATTGGTAATGTAGAGGACGCTAGAGAACCAGGAAAGCCTGATCCTTTGTGGCAACAAACGGGAGCTGTTGAGACAAGAGAACAGGTAAGAAACAAAAGTAAGCCGTTTGTGCAACTGAAGGTAAAAGATATCATCACATATGAGGTAAATCCAAAGGTAATCAAGAAAGCTCAACTAGAAGATACAACGTTGGATAAAATAAGAAGGTATGTATTAACGGGTGATACAGTTACACGGAAGAATGGAAAAGTAAAGTGGATTTTAAAAAGAGGTATGATATACAGACAGTTTTCGTCGTCAAAACCTGATAGGGTAAGTTGTACTCAGTTAGTAGTTCCGAAGTTTCATCGCGAGACAGTGACGAGAGTAGCACATGAGTCGATTATGTCAGGTCACATGGGTACACAGCGTACACTTGATAGAGTATTATCAGCTTTTTATTGGCCAGGTGTTTCGGCGGATGTTAAGCGATTTTGTCAATCTTGTGACATATGCCAGCGTACAGTTCCTAAAGGAAAAATAGGTAAGGTACCTTTACAGTCTATGCCGTTGATAGATGAGCCGTTTAAACGCGTAGCAGTTGATCTCATTGGACCTCTTTTTCCTAGAACAGACAGAGGTAGTAGATATATACTGACTTTGGTAGATTATGCTACACGTTATCCTGAAGCAATAGCTTTGAAGGATATTGAGACAGAGAGTGTTGCTGAGGCATTAGTAGATATATTTTCTAGAGTAGGAGTTCCACAGGAAATGTTAACTGATATGGGAAGTCAGTTTACATCTAAGCTTATGGCTGAGGTAAGTAGACTCATATCGTTTAGACAGTTAACTACAACTGTTTATCATCCTATGTGTAATGGGTTAGTAGAGAGGTTCAATGGAAGTCTAAAACTGATGTTGAAGAGAATGTGTCATGAACGACCTAAAGATTGGGACAGGTATGTAAATGCATTACTGTTTGCATACAGGGAAGTTCCACAGGAGAGTCTGAAGTTTTCGCCATTTGAGCTCGTGTATGGTAAACAGGTGAGGGGACCTATGGCAATATTAAAGGAGCTATGGACTAAAGAGATAGACGATCCTGAGGTAAAGTCTACATATCAGTACGTGATAGATTTAAGAGAGAGATTAGAAGCTACCTGTGAGCTTGCTCGAAGTAATTTGGCGTCTGCATCAAAGAAGAATAAGGTATATTATGATAAATCGACCAAGCAAAGACATATGAAGGTAGGTGAAAAGGTTCTTGTGCTCTTACCTACGGATAAGAATAAACTGTTGATGCAGTGGAAAGGTCCTTTTACTATTACTGAGAAATTTGGTAAGGTAGACTACAGAATACAGATGAATGGGAAGATTAAAACGTTCCATGCAAACTTATTGAAAAGGTATGTGGAAAGGTGTGACGTAGATGATGATTTAACAGTGGTAAGTTCTGCAGTGATAGATACTGATAGTGACCAAGTGGATGTTTATGATGAGATTCATGAAATACCTTTTACTGATTCAGGTGAGAATGCTAGTCATATTGATGTTAATCCAGACTTGGATGAAAATCAGATATTACAGGTAAAGGAATTGCTGTTTTCATTTCCTGAAGTCTTTACTGATTCTCCAGGATGTACCGATCTTCTGGAGCATGACATTAAATTGTCCAGTGAAACGCCTATAAGGATGAAACCGTATCCTATTCCATATAGTATGTTAGACACAGTAAATGCTGAGGTTAGTAAAATGTTAGACCTTGGAGTTATAGAAGCATCTACGAGTCCTTATGCGTCACCGATCGTCATTGTTAAGAAGAAGGACAATACAAACCGATTTTGTATTGATTTTAGGTCGTTAAATAGCCAGACTTTGTTTGACGCTGAACCGATGGGGAATGCAGAAGAGATGTTTTCTAAGTTAGCAGGACATAAGTACTTTTCACGAATCGATTTATCAAAAGGATATTGGCAGTTACCGTTATCAGAGGATGCCAAACCGAAAACCGCTTTTCAAACACCTAAAGGTTTGTTTCAGTTTCGTAGAATGCCGTTTGGACTGGTTACTGCGCCAGCTTCTTTTTGCAGATTAATGAGAATATTGTTAAAAGGTATGGAGAATATAGATAATTTCATAGATGATATAATCATCTTCACCTTGACATTTGAGCAACATTTAGAGGTACTGTATGAACTTTTGGTCAGACTTAAAGGGGCAAATCTTACAGCTAGACCTAGTAAGTGTTCCATAGGTTATGGTAGTCTAGAGTGTTTGGGTCATTTTGTCGGTGATGACAAACTTAAACCTCATCCAGACAAGGTTAAAGCGATAGAAGAAGCTCCACGACCAGTTACAAAGAAACAGGTAAGGTCTTTTCTTGGATTAGTTGGGTTTTACAGGAAGTTTATTCCAAACTTCTCCTGTATTGCACTTCCACTTACTGATCTGACGAAGAAAGGACAGCCTAGTACTGTTGTTTGGGAAAATGCACAGGAGAATGCATTTCAGTCTTTAAGGTGTGCTTTAGTTAGGTTTCCTATATTGAAATTACCAGATTTCACTCAGATTTTTGTTCTGATGACTGATGCATCAGATAGAGGGATTGGGGCAGTACTGATGCAGTATCAAGAGAACTCCAAGATGCCTATTGCATATGCAAGTAGGAAACTTAAGAAGAGTGAAGTGGCTTATTCCACTATTGAAAAAGAGTGTTTAGCCATCGTTTGGGCTGTGCAGAAATTTCAGAGGTATTTATACGGTAGAGAATTTATACTTGAGACTGACCACCAGCCACTTACTTATCTTAATAAGAAGAAAGTAGAGAATGCTAGACTTATGAGGTGGGCATTAGCTCTACAGCCTTACAGATTTAGAATTGTAGCAGTTAAAGGTATAGATAATGTGGGTGCAGATTATCTCAGTAGAGTTTAGGATGTAAATATTACAGTGTTTTGTTTTATAATGAATAGTAAGTAGTGGAGATTTGATAGTGTTAGTTTTATTTTGTTGAACAGTCTAAATATCACAGGACTAGATTTGAAATGGTGACAAACCGTGATGTTGTGGGCAGGATATGTCGTGACATAACACTTTGAATAGGTTTAAGTTATGAGGCGATAAGACCTGATAATGATCCTTATTCATCTTTTAGGTGAGTATATGTCGATTTGTTGTAAGGGTCGGTTGGTATTTTATTTGGACCTGGTCAAGAGTCGAGTACTGTCCGGTAGTGTCGTTAGTATGATTAGTTTGTCTTTTGATTTGGACTAGTTTATTTGCATTGATGGGTTTTTGTATATAAATCTATTTCTGTTTATATATATTTTTTATTATCAGTACTTCGTACTTCTTTTTGTGGGGAGGAACTGTCACAGGGTGACTTTGTTTACTCACATATATGTTGTTATTTTGGTTGTTAATTCTATTTCGATTTGCAGAACGTCAGTATCTTATAAATGCTATATTCTGCAGACTTCGGTGTATAATACATGTCCACATTTTACATCTAATTATTTAAGTAGTGTCCACTATTTACTTGGGCATTTACCTGTAAACTTGTCGAACGGGTTGAGTAACAGTGATACCTGTATTTGATGAGCTGACTATTCACTCTCAGGTAACACCTTAACGAGTCAAGGTGTGGTCAGAAATGTTTGTATAAAGTTAGTTTACAATGTGGCGTGGACACACACACTGGATTTCTGAGGTAGGATTCAATTTATTCTTATTTATTTAATCATTATTCGTTCTAAAGTGTTCAGTTTTCTGCAACAACGCAAATATAGAATAATTATTTCAATTGTAATTGTAATTTTTGACATTGCTATTTTATAAATGTAATAAGTTAATTAATGTTCATTATAATGAAAGTTTAACACGGTTATATGTTTCCGGCTGTAGTAAATATTCGAGTATCGAAATTGTTTGGTATTTTAGGAACGTTTGCGTACGATAATGCAATGATGTATGTATCTCCATAAGTATGTAAAGTAATATGCAACGTATAAGCATAAATGTATATTCAGCGTTAAAAGCTGTATATTGTGTGTAGTAATTGTATAATGATAGTATACAATAAAGTCAATTATGTGACTTGTAAAGTAAGGCATTGTACGATATGCCGTAGTTTGTATTGTGTAAAGTAAGGCATTATACGATATGCCGTAATTATTTGTGTATAAGTAATGCATTATTCAATATGCTATAATCTTCTATAGATTGAACATAAGTAGTCGTACTAAGTATTTGTCATTATTTATGCGACATGTGTAATACATAAACATATGTATATTTCTTAAGTATAGTATTGTATCTTAACGTACAGTATGTATTTCAATAGGTCCCAGTTTGCGGGCTAGGTGTATGTAGTTTTGTATTGTAAAGTATGGAGATATAGTACAGATGGTGGTGAAACCTGTTGACAGTGCGGCGTTCCGTGTTTATCATCAATAGTTTGGCAACATAGAATATTTGGAGTCGAGTCTAGACAATAGGGCAGCCGTAATGTGTACACCGCTTATGTTGGGCCAGTTTTGTGTAGTTACCGAAAACCAAATACGTAAGATTTCATAGTTTAATATAAAGAAGAAGGAACAGTTCATTAAACATTTGACAGTATTATTTCATTTGATTTCATCTATTTATATTTGTAAATTTGTACCTAATTAAATTGTTATTTTGTTTAAAGTAGTAGTCATTTATTATCTGTAAGTACAAACTCCTAAGTCAGCTCTCGTCTATCCGTGACAGCAGTTACATGTAGCAGGGTTTAAGAACATCTGTTGTTCGACCTGCTAGTCAAATGCGTTTTGTAAAAAATATACTTTTTCACTTTTGTTGTCTTTTGGAAAATGTTGTTTGTGCTGTATCTAGACCCCTCTACCAAGAAATTTGATTTGCTTGCACACGTATAAAAATTGCGGTTTTTGTCAAACACAATCATAGGTTTGAACGTTGTTTTCAATTTAGACTTGTAGATATGTATATATGTATATAGATAGATTGAATGTTACTGGTAATTCCTGTTAACCTTATTATGTTCTAGTATTATCCCTTATATTATTGTGGTTATTGTGTGTGAACTTATAAGATTATACGTCCTTGTATTCACTTCAAAAATGTTACGGACGCCTTCACGACTTGTTTAACCGTTGTGGAATATCTGTTTCACAAAATGACGGCGGATATGTTCCAATTGTCGTAACCAAAACCCCATCCTCGTTTCCCCTAATGTGACCTACAGAATAAGACTTATCACCAGCTTTGTACTTACATAAGCAACACGAAGGGTGCCACATGTAGAGCAGGATCTGCTTATCCTTCCAGAACATATGAGTTCATCTCCCGGTTTTTGGTGGGTTTTGTGTTACGCAGTCTTTAGTTTTTCTATGTTGTATTTCATGCACTGTTGTTTGTCTTTTGATATTTTTTCTTTATTTGCCATGCCGTTGTCAGTTTATTTGCGACTTTGCAGTTTGAATGTCCCTTTGGTATATTTCGCCTCTCTTTGTTGTGTGTATGTGTATGTGTTTGTGGGATCTAGCTTATCGGTACACTATCCGTTTAAAGAGTTATTCAATTCTTTGGCTTAATTTGATAGAGTATGTGCTACAAATTGTTCAAAATAAATTTTATATGGAACGATAATGTAGTTACCTTTCTGTTTGTATTTCTGCTGGTGCTGATTCTGACTGTATACTGTGAGTTTCACTGAAATCAAGCAATTTAGAAATTATCTATATAATTCTGCGTAACAATATATCAAATATACAAAACCATATTCATAATATATATATATTTATATATAGATAGATTGAATGTTACTGGTAATGCCTGTTAGCCTTATTATGTACAAGTATTATCCCTTATATTATTGTGGTTATTGTGTGTGAAGTATAAGATTATACGTCCTTGTAATCACTTCAAAAATTTTACGAACGCCATTACGAGTTGTTTAACCGTTGTTGAATATCTGTTTCACAAATGACGACGGACATGTTCCAATTGTCGTAACCAAAATCCCGTCCTCGTTTCCCCTAATGTGACCTACAGAATAAGACTTATCACAAGCTTTGTTCTTACATAAGAAAAACACGAAGGGTGCCACATGTAGAGCAGGATCTGCTTATCCTTCCAGAGCATATGAGTTAACCTCCCGGTTTTTGGTGGGTTTTGCGTTACGCAGTCTTTAGTTTTCTATGTTGTATTTTATGCAATGTTTTTTGTTTTTTGATATTTTTTCTTTATTTGCCATGCCTTTGTCAGTTAATTTGGACTTTTTAGTTTGAATGTCCCTTTGGTATATTTCGCCTCTCTTTGTTGTGTGTGTGTGTATGTATTTGTGGGTTCTAGCTTATCGGTACACTATCCGTTTAATGTGTTATTCAATTCTTTGGCTTAATTTGATAGAGTATGTGTTGCAAATTGTTCAAAATAAATTTTATATGGGACGATAATGTAGTTACCGTTCTGGTGTTGATTCTGACTGTATACTGTGAGTTTCACTGAAATCAAGCAATTAAGAAATTATCTAAATAATTCTGCGTAACAATATATCAAATATACAAAACCATATTCATAATATATATATATATATATTTATATATAGATAGATTGAATTTTACTAGTAATTCCTGTTAACCTTATTATGTACTAGTATTATCATTTATATTATTGTGGTTATTGTGTATAAAGTATAAGATTATACGTCCTTGTAATCACTTCGAAAATTTTACAAACGCCATCACGAGTTGTTTAACCGTTGTGGAATATCTGTTTCATAAAATGACGGCGGACATGTTCCAATTGTCGTAACCAAAACCCCGTCCTCGTTTCCCCTAATGTGACCTACAGAATAAGACTTATCACCAGCTTTGTACTTACATAAGCAACACGAAGGGTGCCACATGTAGAGCAGGATCTGCTTATCCTTCCAGTGCAAATGAGTTCACCTTCCGGTTTTTGGTGGATTTTGTGTTACGCAGTCTTTAGTTTTCCATGTTGTATTTTATGCACTGTTGTTTGTCTTTTGATATTTTTTCTTTATTTGCCATGCCGTTGTCAGTTTATTTGCGACTTTGCAGTTTGAATGTCCCTTTGGTATATTTCGCCTCTCTTTGTTGTGTGTGTGTGTATGTGTTTGTGGGTTCTAGCTTAACTTATCGGTACACTATCCGTTTAAAGAGTTATTCAATTCTTTGGCTTAATTTGATAGAGTATGTGCTACAAATTGTTCAAAATAAATTTTATATGGGACGATAATGTAGTTACCGTTCTGGTGCTGATTCTGACTGTATACTGTGAGTTTCACTGAAATCAAGCAATTTAGAAATTATCTATATAATTCTGCGTAACAATATATCAAATATACAAAACCATATTCATAATATATATATATTTATTTATAGATAGATTGAATGTTATTGGTAATGCCTGTTAGCCTTATTATGTACAAGTATTATCCCTAATATTATTGTGGTTATTGTGTGTGAAGTATAAGATTATACGTCCTTGTAATCACTTCAAAAATTTTACGAACGCTATCACGAGTTGTTTAACCGTTGTTGAATATCTGTTTCACAAATGACGACGGATATGTTCCAATTGTCGTAACCAAAATCCCGTCCTCGTTTCCCATAATGTGACCTACAGAATAAGACTTATCACAAGCTTTGTTCTTACATATAAGCAACACGAAGGGTGCCACATGTAGAGCAGGATCTGCTTATCCTTCAGAGCATATGAGTTCACCTCCCGGTTTTTGGTGGGTTTTGCGTTACGCAGTCTTTAGTTTTCTATGTTGTATTTTATGCAATGTTTTTTGTTTTTTGATATTTTTTCTTTATTTGCCATGCCTGTGTCAGTTAATTTGGACTTTTTAGTTTGAATGTCCCTTTGGTATATTTCGCCTCTCTTTGTTGTGTGTGTGTGTATGTGTTTGTGGGTTCTAGCTTATCGGTACACTATCCGTTTAATGTGTTATTCAATTCTTTGGTTTAATTTGATAGAGTATGTGCTGCAAATTGTTAAAAAAATTTTTTATATGGAACGATAATGTAGTTACCTTTCTGGTGCTGATTCTGACTGTATACTGTGAGTTTCACTGAAATCAAGCAATTTAGAAATTATCTGAATAATTCTACGTGACAATATATCAAATATACAAAACTATATTCCAAATACCGTTTCGATTCCTAACATCATTAAAGAGACATTAATTGTCGAAATCCGGATATGGTGTACCAATGTTTGCACCTTATGTTTGTGGTATACCATCTTTTCTGCAAGTTTATTGTTTTCTGTTTGGTATTAAATTGATAGTTAAGATCAATTTTGTTACATCTGGTGATCCGTTTATTTGGCAATCGCAATTGCAGTCAGCAGGGTTTAAGAACATCTGTTGTTCGACCTGCTAGTCAATTGCGTTTTGTTAAAATATACTTTTTCATTTTTGTGGTCTTTTGGAAAATGTTGTTTGTGCTGTATCTAGATCCCTCTACCAATAGATTTTTTTTACATGCACACGTATAAAAATTGCGGTATTTATCCAACGCAATCATAGGTTTGAACGTTGTTTTCAATTTAGACTTGTTTATATTTTTTCGTTTGGGCTTGTATTATATTTGCCTTCGGGTTTATATAATCCGTTCATCCTATTTCGACTCTTTAAAATTCAAGAGTCAATCCTTAATTGAGATAAACTATATGGCCTTCCAAATACCGTTTTGAATCTTAACATCACTGAAGAGACATTAATTGTCGAAATCTGGATATGGTGTACTAATTTTTGCACCTAATGTTTCCGGTATATCATCTTTTCCGCAAGTTTATTGTTTTCTGTTTGGTATTAAACTAATAATTAAGATCCATTTCATTACATCTGGTGGTCTGTTTATTTGGCAATCGCCATGGCAGTCAGCAGGGTTTAAGAACATCTGTTGTTCGACCTGCTAGTCAAATGCGTTTTGTCAAAATATACTTTTTCACTTTTTTGGTTTTGGAAAATGTTGTTTGTGCTGTATTTAGACCCCTCTACCAAGAAATTTGTTTTGCATGCACACGTATAAAAATTGCGGTTTTTATCCAACGTAAACATAGGTTTGAACGTTGTCTTCAATTTAGACTTGTTTATATGTTTTCGTTTGGGCTTGTATTATAGTTGCCTTCGAGTTTATATAATCCGTTCATCCTATTTCGACTCTTCAAAATTCAAGAGTCAATCCAAACTTGAGGTAAATCATATGGCCTTCCAAATACCGTTTCAATTCTGACATCACTGAAGAGACATTAATTGTCGAAATCCGGAAATGGTGTACCAATTTTTGCACCTAATGTTTCCGGTATATCATCTTTTCTGCAAGTTTATTGTTTACTGTTTGGTATTGAACTAATAATTAAGATCCATTTCATTACATCTAGTGGTCTGTTTATTTGGCAATCGCCATGGCAGTCAGCAGGGTTTCAGAACATCTGTTGTTCGACCTGCTAGTCAAATGCGTTTTGTCAAAATATACTTTTTTACTTTTTTGGTTTTGGAAAATGTTGTTTGTACTGTATTTAGACCCCTCTACCAAGAAATTTGTTTTGCATGCACACGTATAAAAATTGCGGTTTTTATCCAACGCAAACATAGGTTTGAACGTTGTTTTCAATTTAGACTTGTTTATATGTTTTCGTTTGGGCTTGTATTATGTTTGCCTTCGAGTTTATATAATCCGTTCATCCTATTTCGACTCTTCAAAATTCAAGAGTCAATCCAAAATTGAGGTAAATTATATGGCCTTCCAAATACCGTTTCAATTCTGACATCACTGAAGAGACATTAATTGTCGAAATCCGGAAATGGTGTACCAATTTTTGCACCTTATGTTTGCGGTATACCATCTTTTCCGCAAGTTTATTGTTTTCTGTTTGGTATTAAATTAATAATTAAGATCCATTTTGTTACATCTGGTGATCCGTTTATTTGCCAATCGCCATGGCAGTCAGCAGGGTTTAAGAACATCTGTTGTATGACCTGCTAGTCAAATGCGTTTTGTAAAATTATACTTTTTCACTTTTTTGATATTTGGGAAAATGTTGTTTGTGCTGTATTTAGACTCCTCTACCAAGAAATTTGTTTTGCATGCACACGTATAAAAATTGCGGTTTTTGTCAAACACAATCATAGGTTTGAACGTTGTTTTCATTTAGACTTGGTGATATGTATATATGTATATAGATAGCTTGAATGTTACTGGTAATTCCTGTTAACCTTATTATGTTCTAGTATTATCCCTTATATTATTGTGGTTATTGTGTGTGAAGTATAAGATTATACGTCCTTGTATTCACTTCAAAACTTTTACGGACGCCTTCACGACTTGTTTAATCGTAATGGAATATATGTTTCACAAATGACTACGTATATGTTCCAATTGTCGTAACCAAAATCCCGTTCTCGTTTCCCCTAATGTGACCTACAGATTAAGACTTATCACCATCTTTGTACTTACATAAGCAATACGAAGTGTGCCACATGTAGAGCAGGATCAACTTATCCTTCCAGTCCAAATGAGTTCACCTCCCGGTTTTTGGTGGGTTTTGTGTTACGCAGTCTTTAGTTTTCCATGTTGTATTGTATGTACTGTTGTTTGTCTTTTGATATTTTTTCTTTATTTCTTTGCAGTTTGAATGTCCCTTTGGTATATTTGGCCTCTCTTTGTTGTGTGTGTGTGTATGTGTTTGTGGGTTCTAGCTTATCGGTACACTATCTGTTTAATGTGTTATTCAATTCTTTGGCTTAATTTGATAGAGTATTTGCTACAAATTGTTCAAAATAAATTTTATATGGAATGATAATGTAGTTACCTTTCCTTTTTTATTTCTGCTGGTGCTGATTCTGACTGTATACTGTGAGTTTCACTGAAATCAAGCAATTTAGAAATTATCTAAATAATTCTACGTGACAATATATCAAATAAACAAAACTATATTCCAAATACCGTTTCGATTCTTAACATCATTAAAGAGACATTAATTGTAAAAATTCGGATATCGTGTACCAATTTTTGGACTTATGTTTGTGGTAGACCATTTTTTCTGCAAATTCATTGTTTTCTGTCTGGTATTAAATTGATAGTTAAGATCCATTTTGTTACATCTGGTGATCCGTTTTTTTGGCAATCGCCATGGCAGTCAACAGGGTTTAAGAACATCTGTTGTTCGACCTACTAGTCAAATGCGTTTTGTAAAAAATATACTTTTTCACTTTTGTTGTCTTTTGGAAAATGTTGTTTGTGCTGTATTTAGACCCCTCTACCAAGAAATGTGATTTGCTTGCACACGTATAAAAATAGCGGTTTTTGTCCAACACAATCTTAGGTTTGAACGTTGTTTTTCAATTTAGACTTGTAGATATATATATATATATAGGTATATAGATAGATTGAATGTTACTGGTAATCCCTGTTAACCTTATTATGTTCTAGTATTATCCCTTATATTATTGTGGTTAATGTGTGTGAAATATAAGATTATACGTTCTTGTAATCACTTCAAAATTGTTAAGGACGCCATCACGACTTGTTTAATCGTAATGGAATATCTGTTTCACAAATGACGACGGATATGTTCCAATTATCGTTACCAAAATCCCGTCCTCGTTTCCCCTAATGTGACTTTCAGAATAAGACTTATCACCAGCTTTGTACTTACATAAGCAACACGAAGGGTGCCACATGTAGAGCAGGATCTGCTTATCCTTCCAGTGCAAATAAGTTCACCTTCCGGTTTTTGGTAGGTTTTGTGTTACGCAGTATTTAGTTTTTCATGTTGTATTGTATGTACTGTTGTTTGTCTTTTGATATTTTTTCTTTATTTGCCATGCCGTTGTCAGTTTATTTGCGACTTTGCAGTTTGAATGTCCCTATGGTATATTTCACCTCTCTTTGTTGTATGTGTGTGTATGTGTTTGTGGGTTCTAGCTTAAATTATCGGTACACTATCCGTTTAATGTGTTGTTCAATACTTTGGCTTAATTTGATAGAGTATGTGCTACAAATTGTTCAAAATAAATTTTATATGGTACGATAATGTAGTTACCGTTCTGGTGCTGATTCTGACTGTATACTGTGAGTTTCACTGAAATAAAGCAATTAAGAAATTATCTAAATAATTCTGCGTAACAATATATCAAATATACAAAACCATGTTCATAATAAATATATATATTTATATATAGATAGATTGAATGTTACTGGTAATTCCTGTTAACCTTATTATGTATTAGTATTATCATTTATATTATTGTGGTTATTGTGTGTGAAGTATAAGATTATACGTCCTTGTAATCACTTCGAAAATTTTACAAACGGCATCACGAGTTGTTTAACCGTTGTGGAATATCTGTTTCACAAAATCACGATGGACATGTTCCAATTGTCGTAACCAAAACCCCGTCCTCGTTTCCCCCAATGTGACCTACAGAATAAGACTTATCACCAGCTTTGTACTTACATAAGCAACACGAAGGGTGCCACATGTAGAGTAGGATCTGCTTATCCTTCCACAGCATATGAGTTCAACTCCTGGTTTTTGGTGGGTTTTGTGTTACGGAGTCTTTAGTTTTTCTATGTTGTATTTTATGCACTGTTGTTTGTCTTTTGATATTTTTTCTTTATTTGCCATGCCGTTGTCAGTTTAATTGCGACTTTTTAGTTTGAATGTCCCTTTGGTATATTTCGCCTCTTTTTGTTGTGTGTGTGTGTATGTGTTTGTGGGTTCTAGCTTAAATTATCGGTACACTATCCGTTGAATATCCTGTTTTTCAATTCTTTGGCTTAATTTGATAGAGTATCTGACACAAATTGTTCAAAATAAATGTTATATGGAACGATAATGTAGTTACCTTTCTGGTGCTGATTCTGACTGTATACTGTGACTTTCACTGAAATCAAGCAATTTAGAAATTATCTAAATAATTCTACGTGACAATATATCAAATATACAAAACTATATTCCAAATACCGTTTCGATTCCTAACATCATTAAAGAGACATTAATTGTAAATATCCGGATATGGTGTACCAATTTTTGCACCTTATGTTTGTGATATACCATCTTTTCTGCATGTGCATTGTTTTCTGTTTGGTATCAAATTGATAGCTATGATCCATTTTCTTACATCTGGTGGTCCGTTTATTTTGCAATCGCCATGGCAGTCAACAAGGTTTAAGAACATCTGTTGTTCGACCTGCTAGTCAAATGCGTTTTGTTAAAATATACTTTTTCACTTTTGTGGTCTTTTGGAAAATGTTGTTTGTGCTGTATTTAGACCCCTCTACCAAGAAATTTGATTTGCATGCACACGTATAAAAATTGCGGTTTTTCTCCAACACAATCATAGGTTTGAACGTTGTTTTCAATTTTGACTTGTAGATATATATATATATATATATATAGGTATATAGATAGATTGAATGTTACTTGTAATCCCTGTTAACCTTATTATGTTCTAGTATTATCCCTTATATTATTGTGGTTATTGTGTATGAAGAATAAGATTATACGTCCTTGTAATCACTTCGAAAATTTTACGAACGCCATCACGAGTTGTTTAACCGTTGTGGAATATCTGTTTCACAAAATGACGACGGACATGTTCCAATTGTCGTAACCAAAATACCGTCCTCGTTTCCCCTAATGTGACCTACAGAATAAGACTTATCGCCAGCTTTGTACTTACATAAGCAACACGAAGGGTGCCACATGTAGAGCAGGGTCTGCTGATCCTTCCACAGCATATGAGTTCAACTCCTGGTTTTTGGTGGGTTTTGTGTTACGGAGTCTTTAGTTTTTCTATGTTGTATTTTATGCACTGTTGTTTGTCTTTTGATATTTTTTCTTTATTTGCCATGCCGTTGTCAGTTTAATTGCGACTTTTTAGTTTGAATGTCCCTTTGGTATATTTCGCCTCTTTTTGTTGTGTGTGTGTGTATGTGTTTGTGGGTTTTAGCTTAAATTATCGGTACACTATCCGTTGAATATCCTGTTATTCAATTCTTTGGCTTAATTTGATAGAGTATGTGCTACAAATTGTTCAAAATAAATTGTATATGGAACGATAATGTAGTTACCTTTCTGGTGCTGATTCTGACTGTATACTGTGAGTTTCACTGAAATCAAGCAATTTATAAATTAACTTAATAATTCTACGTGACAATATATCAAATATACAAAACTATATTCCAAATACCGTTTCGATTCCTAACATCATTAAAGAGACATCAATTGTAAAAATCCGGATATGGTGTACCAATTTTTGCACCTTATGTTTGTGGTATACCATCTTTTCTGCAAGTTCATTGTTTTCTGTTTGGTATTAAATTGATAGTTAAGATCCATTTTGTTACATCTGGTGATCCGTTTATTTGCCAATCGCCATTGCAGTCAGCAGGGTTTAAGAACATCTGTTGTTCGACCTGCTAGTCAAATGCGTTTTGTAAAAATATACTTTTTTTCACTTTTGTGGTCTTTTGGAAAATGTTGTTTGTGCTGTATTTAGACCCATCTACCAAGAAATTTGATTTGCATGCACACGTATAAAAATTGCGGTTTTTGTCCAACACAATCATAGGTTTGAACGTTGTTTTCAATTTTGAATTGTAGATATATATACATATATAGGTATATAGATAGTTTTTATGTTACTTGTAATCCCTGTTAACCTTATTATGTTCTAGTATTATCCCTTATATTATTGTGGTTATTGTGTATGAAGTATAAGATTATACGTCCTTAAAATCACTTCGAAAATTTTAAGGACGCCATCACAACTTGTTTAATCGTAATGGAATATCTTTTTCACAAAATGACGACGGACATGTTCCAATTGTCGTAACCAAAATCCCGTCCTCGTTTCCCCTAATGTGACCTACAGAATAAGACTTATCACCAGCTTTGTACTTACATAAGCAACACGAAGGGTGCCACATGTAGAGCAGGATCTGCTTATCCTTCCACAGCATATGAGTTCAACTCCTGGTTTTTGGTGGGTTTTGTGTTACGGAGTCTTTAGTTTTTCTATGTTGTATTTTATGCACTGTTGTTTGTCTTTTGATATTTTTTCTTTATTTGCCATGCCGTTGTCAGTTTATTTGCGACCTTTCAGTTTGAATGTCCCTTTGGAATATTTCGCCTCTTTTTGTTGTGTGTGTGTGTATGTGTTTGTGGGTTCTAGCTTAAATTATCGGTACACTATCCGTTGAATATCCTGTTATTCAATTCTTTGGCTTAATTTGATAGAGTATGTGCTACAAATTGTTCAAAATAAATTGTATATGGAACGATAATGTAGTTACCTTTCTGGTGCTGATTCTGACTGTACTCTGTGAGTTTCACTGAAATCAAGCAATTTAGAAATTATCTAAATAATTCTACGTGACAATATATCAAATATACAAAACTATATTCCAAATACCGTTTCGATTCCTAACATCATTAAAGAGACATTAATTGTAAAAATCCGGATATGGTGTACCAATTTTTGCACCTTATGTTTGTGGTATACCATCTTTTCTGCAAGTTCATTGTTTTCTGTTTGGTATTAAATTGATAGTTAAGATCCATTTTGTTAGATCTGGTGATCCGTTTATTTGCCAATCGCCATGGCAGTCAGCAGGGTTTAAGAACATCTGTTGTTCGACCTGCTAGTCAAATGCGTTTTGTTAAAATATACTTTTTCACTTTTGTGGTCTTTTGGAAAATGTTGTTTGTGTTGTATTTAGACTCCTCTACCAAGAAATTTGATTTGCATGCACACGTATAAAAATTGCGGTTTTTGTCCAACACAATCTTAGGTTTGAACGTTGTTTTCAATTTTGACTTGTAGATATATATATATATATATAGGTATATAGATAGATTGAATGTTACTGGTAATCCCTGTTAACCTTATTATGTTCTAGTATTATCCCTTATATTAATGTGGTTAATGTGTGTGAAGTATAGATTATACGTTTTTGTAATCACTTCAAAATTTTTAAGGACGCCATCACGACTTGTTTAATCGTAATGGAAAATCTGTTTCAAAAATGACGACGGATATGTTCCAATTGTCGTAATCAAAATCCCGTCCTCGTTTCCCCTAATGTGACCTACAGAATAAGACTTATCCCCAGCTTTGTACTTACATAAGCAGTATGAATGGTTCCACATGTAGAGCAGGATCAACTTTACCTTCCAGTGCAAATGAGTTTACCTCCCGGTTATTGGTGGGTTTTTTGTTACGCAGTCTTTAGTTTTTTATGTTGTATTGTATGTACTGTTGTTTGTCTTTTGATATTTTTTCTTTATTTGCCATGCCGTTGTCACTTTATTTGCGACTTTTCAGTTTGAATGTCCCTTTGGTATATTTCGCCTCTCTTTGTTGTGTGTGTGTATGTGTTTGTGGTTTCTATCTTAAATTATCGGTACACTATCCGTTTAATGTGTTATTCAATTCTTTGGCTTTATTTAATAGAGTATGTGCTACAAATTGTTCAAAATAAAATTTTATATGGAACGATAATGTAGTTACCTTTCTGGTGCTGATTCTGACTGTATACTGTGAGTTTCACTGAAATCAAGCAATTAAGAAATTATCTAAATGATTCTGCGTAACAATATATCATATATACAAAACTATATTCTTAATATATATATATATTTATATATAGATAGATTGAATGTTACTGGTAATTCCTGTTAAATTGTATATGGAACGATAATGTAGTTACCTTTCTGGTGCTGATTCTGACTGTATACTGTGAGTTTCACTGAAATCAAGCAATTTAGAAATTATCTAAATAATTCTACGTGACAATATATCAAATATACAAAACTATATTCCAAATACCGTTTCGATTCCTAACATCATTAAAGAGACATTAATTGTATGTTACTGGTAATTCCTGTTAACTTTATAATGTACTAGTATTTCGATTCCTAACATCATTAAAGAGACATTAATTGTATGTTACTGGTAATTCCTGTTAACTTTAAAATGTACTAGTATTATCATTTATATTATTGTGGTTATTGTGTATTAAGTATAAGATTATACGTCCTTGTAATCACATCGAAAATTTTACGAACGCCATCACGAGTTGTTTAACCGTTGTGGAATATCTGTTTCACAAAATGACGACGGACATGTTCCAATTGTCGTAACCAAAATCCCGTCCTCGTTTCCCCTAATGTGACCTACAGAATAAGACTTATCACCAGCTTTGTACTAACATAAGCAACACGAAGGGTGCCGCATGTAGAGCAGGATCTGCTTATCCTTCAAGAGCATATGAGTTCACCTCCTGGTTTTTGGTGGGTTTTTATGTTTCGCAGTCTTTAGTTTTTCTATGTTGTATTTTATGCACTGTTGTTTGTCTTTTGATATTTTTTCTTTATTTTGCCATGCCGTTTTCAGTTTATTTGCGACTTTTCAGTTTGAATGTCCCTATGGTATATTTCACCTCTTTTTGTTGTGTGTATGTGTATGTGTTTGTGGGTTCTAGCTTAAATTATCGGTACACTATCCGTTGAATATCCTGTTATTCAATTCTTTGGCTTAATTGGATAGAGTATGTGCTACAAATTGTTCAAAATAAATTGTATATGGAACGATAATGTAGTTACCTTTCTGGTGCTGATTCTGACTGTATACTGTGAGTTTCACTGAAATCAAGCAATTTAGAAATTATCTAAATAATTCTACGTGACAATATATCAAATATACAAAACTATATTCCAAATACCGTTTCGATTCCTAACATCATTAAAGAGACATTAATTGTAAAAATCCGGATATGGTGTACCAATTTTTGCACCTTATGTTTGTGGAATACCATCTTTTCTGCAAGTTCATTGTTTTCTGTTTGGTATTAAATTGAAAGTTAAGATCCATTTTGTTACATCTGGTGATCCGTTTATTTGGCAATCGCCATGGCAGTCAGCAGGGTTTAAGAACATCTGTTGTTCGACCTGCTAGTCAAATGCGTTTTGTTAAAATATACTTTTTCACTTTTGTGGTCTTTTGGAAAATGTTGTTTGTGCTGTATTTAGACCCTCTACCAAGAAATTTAATTTGCATGCACACGTATAAAAATTGCGGTAATTGTCCAACACAATCATAGGTTTGAACGTTGTTTTCAATTTAGACTTGTAGATATATATATAGGTATATAGATAGATTGAATGTTACTTGTAATCCCTGTTAACCTTATTATGTTCTAGTATTATCCCTTATATCATTGTGGTTAATGTGTGTGAAGTATAAGATTATACGTTCAACATTTTTAAAGACGCCATCACGACTTGTTTAATCGTTATGGAATATCTGTTTAAAAAATGACGGATATGTTCCAATTGTCGTAACCAAAATCCCGTCCTCGTTTCCCCTAATGTGACCTACAGAATAAGACTTATCACCAGCTTTGTACTTACATAAGCAAAACGAAGGGTGCCACATGTAGAGCAGGATCAACTTATCCTTCCAGTGCAAATGAGTTCACCTCCCGGTTTTTGGTGGGTTTTGTGTTACGCAGTCTTTAGTTTTCTATGTTGTATTGTATGTACTGTTGTTTGTCTTTTGATATTTTTTCTTTATTTGCCATGCCGTTGTCAGTTTATTTGCGACTTTTCAGTTTGAATGTCCCTTTGGTATATTTGGCCTCTCTTTGTTGTGTGTGTGTGTATGTGTTTGTGGGTTCTAGCTTAAATTATCGGTACACTATCCGTTTAATGTGTTATTCAATTCTTTGGCTTTATTTGATAGAGTATGTGCTACACATTGTTCAAAATAAATTTTATATGGAACGATAATGTAGTTACCTTTCTGGTGCTGATTCTGACTGTATACTGTGAGTTTCAATGAAATCAAGCAATAAAGAAATTATTTAAATAATTCTGCGTAACAATATATCAAATATACAAAACTATATTCATAATACATATATATATATAATTTATATATAGATAGATTGAATGTTACTGGTAATTCCTGTTAACCTTATTATGTACTAGTATTATCATTTATATTATTGTGGTTATTGTGTATGAAGTGTAAGATTATACGTCCTTGTAATCACTTCGAAAATTTTACGAACGCCATCACGAGTTGTTTAACCGTAGTGGAATATCTGTTTCACAAAATGACGACGGACATGTTCCAATTGTCGTAACCAAAATCCCGTCCTCGTTTCCCCTAATGTGACCTACAGAATAAGACTTATCACCAGCTTTGTACTTACATAAGCAACACGAAGGGTGCCGCATGTAGAGCAGGATCTGCTTATCTTTCCAGAGCATATGAGTTCACCTCCTGGTTTTTGGTGGGTTATGTGTTACGCAGTCTTTAGTTTTTCTATGTTGTATTTTATGCACTGTTGTTTGTCTTTTGATATTTTTTCTTTATTTGCCATGCCGTTGTCAGTTTATTTGCGACTTTTCAGTTTAAATGTCCCTTTGGAATTGTTTGCCTCTTTTTGTTGTGTGTGTGTGTATTTGTTTGTGGGTTATAGCTTAAATTATCGGTACACTATCCGTTGAATATCCTGTTATTCAATTCTTTGGCTTAATTTGATAGAGTATGTGCTACAAATTGTTCAAAATAAATTGTATATGGAACGACAATGTAGTTACCTTTCTGGTTCTGATTCTGACTGTATACTGTGAGTTTCACTGAAATCAAGCAATTTAGAAATTATCTAAATAATTCTACGTGACAATATATCAAATATACAAAACTATATTCCAAATACCGTTTCGATTCCTAACATCATTAAAGAGACATTAATTGTAAAAATCCGGATATGGTGTACCAATTTTGGCACCTTATGTTTGTGGTATACCATCTTTTCTGCAATTTCATTGTTTTCTGTTTGGTATTAAATTGATAGTTAAGATCCATTTTGTTACATCTGGTGATCCGTTTATTTGGCAATCGCCATGGCAGTCAGCAGGGTTTATGAACATCTGTTGTTCGACCTGCTAGTCAAATGCGTTTTGTTTAAAATAATTCTTTTTTCACTTTTGTGGTCTTTTTGAAATTTTGTTTGTGCTGTATTTAGACCCTCTACCAAGAAATTTGATTTGCATGCACACGTATAAAAATTGCGGTTTTTGTCCAACACAATCATAGGTTTGAACGTTGTTTTCAATTTAGACTTGTAGATATATATATATATATAGGTATATAGATAGATTGAATGTTACTGGTAATCCCTGTTAACCTTATTATGTTCTAGTATTATCCCTTATATTATTGTGGTTAATGTGTGTGAAGTATAAGATTATACGTCCTTGTAATCACTTTAAAATTGTTAAGGACGCCAACACGACTTGTTTAATCGTAATGGAATATCTTTTTCACAAAATGACGACGGACATGTTCCAATTGTCGTAACCAAAATCCCGTCCTCGTTTCCCCTAATGTGACCTACAGAATAAGACTTATCACCAGCTTTGTACTTACATAAGCAAAACGAAGAGTGCCACATGTAGAGCAGGATCAACTTATCCTTCCAGTGCAAATGAGTTCACCTCCCGGTTTTTGGTGGGTTTTGTGTTACGCAGTCTTTAGTTTTCTATGTTGTATTGTAAGTACTGTAGTTTGTCTTTTGATATTTTTTCTTTATTTGCCATGCCGTTGTCAGTTTATTTGCGACTTTTCAGTTTGAATGTCCCTTTGGTATATTTTGCCTCTCTTTGTTGTGTGTGTGTGTATGTGTTTGTGGGTTCTAGCTTAAATTATCGGTACACTATCCGTTGAATATCCTGTTATTCAATTCTTTGGCTTAATTTGATAGAGTATGTGCTACAAATTGTTCAAAATAAATTTTATATGGAACGATAATGTAGTTAACTTTCTGGTGCTGATTCTGACTGTATACTGTGAGTTTCACTGAAATCAAGCAATTTAGAAATCATCTAAATAATTCTACGTGACAATATATCAAATATACAAAACTATATTCCAAATACCGTTTCGATTCCTTACATCATTAAAGAGACATTAATTGTAAAAATCCGGATATGGTGTACCAATTTTTGCACCTTATGTTTGTGGTATACCATCTTTTCTGCAAGTTCATTGTTTTCTGTCTGGTATTAAATTGATAGTTAAGATCCATTTTGTTACATCTGGTGATCCGTTTATTTGGCAATCGCCATGGCAGTCAGCAGGGTTTAAGAACATCTGTTGTTCGACCTGCTAGTCAAATGCGTTTTGTTAAAATATACTTTTTAACTTTTGTGGTCTTTTGGAAAATGTTGTTTGTGCTGTATTTAGACCCCTCTACCAAGAAATTTGATTTGCATGCACACGTATAAAAATTGCGGTTTTTATCCAACGCAATCATAGGTTTGAACGTTGTTTTCAATTTAGACTTGTTTATATTTTTCCGTTTGGGCTTGTATTATATTTTCCTTCGGGTTTATATGATCCGTTCATCCTATTTTGACTCTTTAAAAATTCAAGAGTCTATCCTAAATTGAGGTGAATTATATGGCCTTCCAAATACTGTTTCGATCCCTAACATCACTGAAGAGACATTAAATGTGGAAATCCCGATATGATGTATTAAAATTTTTGCACCTCATGTTTGTGGTAAACCATCTTTTCCACAAGTTTATTGTTTTCTGTTTGGTATTAAATTAATATTAAGATCCATTTTGTACTGGTGATCAATTTATTTGGCAATCGCCAATGGCAGTCAGCAGGGTTTAAGAACATCTGTTGTTCGACCTGTTAGTCAAATGCGTTTTGTTAAAATATACTTTTTCACTATTTTGGTCTTTTGAAAAAATATATATATATAAATAGATAGATTGAATGTTACTGATAATTCCTGTTAACCTTATTATGTACTAGTATTATCATTTATATTATTGTGGTTATTGTGTATGAAGTATAAGATTTAACGTCCTTGTAATCACTTCGAAAATTTTACGAACGCCATTACAAGTTGTTTAACCGTTGTTGAATATCTGTTTCACAAATGACGACTGACATGTTCCAATTGTCGTAACCAAAACCCCGTCCTCGTTTCCCCTAATGTGACCTACAGAATAAGACTTATCACCAGCTTTGTACTTACATAAGCAACACGAAGGGTGCCACATGTAGAGCAGGATCTGCTTATCCTTCCAGAACATATGAGTTCACCTCCCGGTTTTTGGTGGGTTTTGTGTTACGCAGTCTTTAGTTTTCTATGTTGTATTTTATGCACTGTTGTTTGTCTTTTAATATTTTATCTTTATTTGCCATGCCGTTGTCAGTTTAATTGCGACTTTTCAGTTTGAATGTCCCTTTGGTATTTTTCGCCTCTCTTTGTTGTGTGTGTGTGTAGCTTGAATTATCGGTACACTATCCGTTTAATGTGTTATTCAATTCTTTGGCTTAATTTGGTAGAGTATGTGCTACAAATTGTTCAAAATAAATTTTATATGGAATGAGAATGTAGTTACCTTTCCTTTTTTATTTCTGCTGGTGCTGATTCTGACTGTATTCTGTGAGTTTCACTGAAATCAAGCAATCAAGAAATTATCTAAATGATTCTACGTGACAATATATCAAATATGCAAAACTATATTCCAAATACCGTTTCCATTCCTAACATCACTGAGGAGACATTAATTATCGAAATCCGGATATGTTGTACCAATTTTTGCACCTTATGTTTGTGGTATACCACCTTTTCTGCAAGTTCATTGTTTTCTGTTTGGTATTAAATTAATAGTTAAGATTCATTTTGTTGCATCTTGTGATCCGTTTATTTGGCAATCGCCATGGCAGTCAGCAGGTTTTAAGAACATATGTTGTTCGACCTGCTAGTCAAATGCGTTTTGTTTAAATATACTTTTTCACTTTTTTGGTCTTTTGGAAAATGTTTTTGTGCTGTATTTAGACAAAAATAGTAAAAAAGTATATTTTAACAAAACGCATGTGACTAACAGGTCGAACAACAATTGTTCTTAAACTCTGCTAACTGCCATTGACGATTGCCAAATAAACGGATCACCGATGTAATTAATGGATCTTAATTATAAATTTCATACTAAACAGAAAACAATAAACTTGCGGAAAAGATGATATACCGCAAACAAAAGGTGCAAAGGTTTTTGTACACCATATCCGGATTTCGACAATTAATGTCTCTTCAGTGATGTTAGGAATCGAAACAGTATTTGGAAGGCCATATAATTTACCTCAATTTAGGATAGACTCTTGAATTTTGAAAGAGTCGAAATAGGATGAACGGATCATATAAACCCGAAGGCAAATATAATACAAGCCCAAACGAAAAAATATAAACAAGTCTAAATTGAAAACAACGTTCAAACCTATGATTGCGTTGGATAAAAACCGCAATTTTTATACGTGTGCATGCAAAACAAATTTCTTGTTAGAGGGGTCTAAATACAGCACAAACAACATTTTCCAAAAGACCAAAAAAGTGAAAAAGTATATTTTAACAAAACGCATTTAATATATATATATATGCGTCAAAAAAAGTGTACAACAGCACCAAAACAATGATAAAAAAATATAGAACAAAAAAATACATAATAGATGGATTTGTAACTGTCCATTTCCTACAAACAATGTTCGGTGTTTAAATTGTACGATGGTCAAGATTTTTAAATCCGATAATCCACTAAATGTCCCTTCGGTATGTTTCGCCTCCCTTTTAAATTTAGCAGTGACGCCTTTTTTTATGTATTTTGTTATTTTCATTTTCAGATATTTTTTCGTTGTTTTTTGGTATTGTTATACACATTTTAGGCGTTTATTGTATGTATTTACTGAGTACTGTATCGTTCTCCATCACGATCCGACACCATCGTAAAAAACGAATAACAGATTTTTGTCAATTCTGATATGAATAATGTCGTCTTTAGTGCATTTAAGCTCAATAGTCAGGACCTTTGTATTGATCTGAATTTTCATTGTTATGGTCATAATTCGAAATTAACTTTTCATCAACAACTTGCCAAACAATGTAATTTCTGATGTGTTAATGATCGCAGATGATACCAATTATTAAGATGTCCACCTGGACAATCGCATATTACTCTACGATTTCATGCTCTTTTTGCTACATTCGAAGTATACAAACAGTTTATGGTCATCTAACAGGAAGATATTTTCATTACTAGTATCGAAAAAGATAGAGCCCAAAATGCTACAAAGAATGAGGAATATGTAATATGAAGACCGTTTACGAAAACTCAAGCTACCCACCCTCTGTTACCTCCGGTTGCGATGTAATATGATTGAAATCTATAACCTATTGACATGATTATATGACAAGAGAGTAACCATTGATTTTGTAGTGATGCTCAACACGAGGTAATCAACAAGACGTCATTCAATGAAACTGAAGAAACAACGAAGCCGTCTAGATCTAAGGAAGTATCTTTTCACCAATAGAGTTGTTGACATATAGAACAGCTTCCGTGAAGAAATTATTTCAGTTCAAACTGTGTACACAGTTTTTAAAAACAGAATAGGTAAAATTTATACCAACAAACCGTTAATTCATAATTCTGAGGCAGAATATGAAATTTTATCTGGAAATGAGAACCGAACAATTCAATACATTGACGATAAAGTAGAACAGAATATAGTGGTATAACAGTGGCATACAACAATTTAATCCTGGTATCTATGATGAGATTATTTACAATGTTTTACAAACAATGTATCTTTTAGATATATGAAGTGGTATGCCAATAGTTATCAAAGGTACCAGGATTATAATTTAATACGCCAGACTAGCGTTTCGTCTACATAAGACTCATCAGTGACGCTCAGATCAAAATAGTTATAAAGCCAAACAAGTACAAAGTTGAAGACAACCTTTTTCATTTCATTTTTACAGGTCAGCTTCATGTTTTTCTGTTGATATCAAAACGAACATTTGATTAATTAGTTGTTGCATGCTTATCATTTTTTCGTGCATATTAAGGATATAATAATTAATGCAAATATAGGTTTGACAAGTTGTGTCGACCGGACTGAAGGAGTCGGGGGATTTGCACTACCACTAGAAAATAAGGATATGGTGGATAGGAACAGACATTTTGCTTTGCAATAGTCCCCCTACAGATCCATCAGAGAGTTGTTTCAAAGTTTCATTAGATAGTGTGGCACTTTTTACATGAGGTATCGAATTAAACGTTCCCACTGTGTCTAAACTACCCCGGCAAAAAATGTTTGGACTCGATGGTATCTAATATCCGGCACGGTGACGGAACATCAATAGACAGAGAAAAGGTAGAGTTCTGTTTATTTATTTGTTATTGTTATGATATCGAAGAATATTTATACATATATAACTATTTTCTATTGTGAGATGTAATATTTTCTACAACCGTTCTAGATTAACGGAAAAATAAGTAAAAATGCACGTCAAAATGACGAATTGAGTGAACCTTGCCTCGAATTTGTTTAATTTCTCCCTAAATTGTTCACATGGTACGGAACGAAAGGTATAGAAAGGAAGATATTGACATGGAGATTGCAACACTAGTCACTTTGAGCACCTCAATCCTTGTATTTCTGCGTATGGAACGAAAGAAATAGGTCATGTCAAAATGGAAGCACCCGGTTTTTTCAATGTTGTTAACTACACAATGACCAGGTTTTGTCTATGTATAGAACCCGGTTTTGTTTATTTTATGAAAAGCAACGTTAACACTGGTACCCTGAAACAAAAAATAAATTTACAAATGGCTGATCATCATTGTGGGTTTTCAAACCAGATACCTCAATAAAGCGTGTGCCCAAGTTTGATTAAATTGTTAAAGAGGAGAAGATTTTTGTAAGATAATTGGCAAAAACGCAAAGAAATGATAAAAATCGTAATTAAAGGTCAATAATTCTTACAAGGATATCGACCAAGTCGACCTATTCGTATATATTGTCTTGCTGATCATTTTTGCTATATAACTTTTATATATATCAAGATAATAGACAAACATGGAAAAAAAGGAGAAATTTGTCATTCAAGGACATTAACTTCTATAAGAATTCGTGTGAGAGTTTTGATGTGTATGGACAAAAGGTAGAGCTCAACATTATGAACATATCTGCCCCTGTTAAATTTTCTCTATCTATAGCTGTTTTCAAATAATAGACAAAACTTGCATCCCCCTATGTTCTATTTTAAGCCATGTCGGCCATCTTTGTTGACAAGTGGGTCATCAAAAACTTTTTAAACTAGATACCCCAATGATGATGAAAAACAGTTAAACATAAGTTCGTTAGACCTTTTAAACCCGACATAAGATTGTGGATAAGGTTTGTTAAATATATTGTAGCCCAGTAATTTCAGAGGAGAAGATTAAGTAAAAAATTAACGGACGACGACGGACGACGGGGGCCAAGTGATGAAAAAAGCTCACTTTTCCCTTGGGGTCAGGTGAGCTAAAAACAACCAAGAATTCCAAACACGATTGCACCGTTCTTGAATTAAAAAAAGTCTAACAATTCATTATAAAGGCTTACACGAACGAGATAAACAAATCAGACATGGCAAAACAACTTCAATTGCGGTTTTAAAAAAAAAAATAAATACTACGTATTATTTATACAAGAATGACTGTACGCACTGACATGTCGCGACTGCTGGAATGATCGTTATCGAATTTATTTTGAAGGTCTCTAAGATAAATAATTTAATAAAAGTATCTTATAAAATTACCATTGTTCATGGAACCATAAAAAAAGTCAAGGTCTGATGAAACCTGCCAGACGGACATGAACACATTACAATCATTAAAACCAACCAACAAAAAAAACTGAAGAATTACCAATTAATCAAGAAAATAAGTTCAAGGTCACTTAAATAGTCATATGCGCCATACGAGCAAATATAGTTGACCTATTACTTATGGTAATAGAGATACGGACTTGAACACGAAATGTTAACCTTGATCATAGATATCAACCATTATCAGCTATTCATTTGGTTAGGAATTCGCTGAACCATAAAAATGAGGTCAAGGGCAATGGACATATGGCAGATAGAAGCATAGTTACATAAAAGATCTGTGTGCGAGGTATGTTGCAGTCATGCCTTCTAACTCCTGACATATGAAGCTTCATACAAATAGTTCAAGCCGCCACGAATTTGCATCCCTTGGTCTCGCATTCCGACAATTCCAAAATATCAATGAGAATTTTTAGAATAAACATGATAATCCTAGTCACATACATCCAATTTCGCGGGTGTCCCTGCTTTCTTATTTCTTATAAAATATTAAGTTGGTATACGATTTAGTTATATAACATCAGTGGCGAATCCAGGCGTCGTATAAGTCACGCGCCCCCACCCCCACCTTTGATGATCCAAAAAATATTAAATCTTTTTTTAACGATTTGTTTTAGCTTAATTCGTCAAAAGCATTGTTCGCTTCGCTACGCTCTGCGGTATGTAAGCTGTTTGAATTACGCCCACTTTGAAAAAACCTGAATCCGTCCCTATATATTGTCAATAATATATTGACCAACGTCAATGTACGATAATCGTACCACAATGGAGATATAACAGAACCGTTTATTTATACAACTAAATAATCATTAATGCATTTTCTCGATGGCCTGAGACTATTATACTAATTTATACTTAGTATTATAGTCACAATTGGGGATAGATGGATTTGATTTTTAATGCATAATTATTGTAATCATTTTCTCACTATAAACGTTCAGTTTCTATGGCGATTCTGCAAGCATATATACATTTGTCTGAATATCATGCCATATAATGAACATTAAGCCTTAAGAAGATTTATTTTAAACGATCATAGGAAATATTACATCCCTAGGTAGATTGGATTACTTATAAAGATAACCATCCTGTTGTGCAAGAAAATCACATATAAATTCTTCAATTAAGACCATAAACTCTAATACTAAAATTTACATAATTCATATAAAAAAAAAACGTATAGGGAGCGTAAACCTCAATTTGCGGTTTAACCTTCATTTCTATCTATTTCGTAGTTAGAGTATTTTTTTTTAAATGCAAAGCAAAATTATAATTATTTTTGTTGCAAGAAAGTAGGAATTCAAGTGTTTACAGATTCAAATAAATAATAAGTTGTCCTCTGTAAGAAATCGTTTTCCAACCAGTCACCAAACTCCTTTTAATTGCTGAAGTTCAATTATGTTACGCGATTATGCCTTTTGTTTTCTTTGACAAAACCGGGTTCTGCCTTGTGAAATCTAGGACAAAACCGGGTTGTACACATTGACAAAACCGGGTGCTTCCATTTTGACATTACCCATTTCTTTCGTTCCATACGCAGAAATACAAGTATTGAGGTGCTCAAAGTTACTAGTTATGCAATCTCCATGTCAATATCTTTCTTTCCATACCTTTCGTTCCGTACCATGTGAACAATTGAAGGAGAAATTAAACAAATTCGAGGCAAGGTTCACTCAATTCGTCATTTTGACATGCATTTTTACTTATTCCTCCGTTAATCTAGAACGGTTGTAGAAAATATTACATCTCATAATAGAAAATAGTTATATATGTATAAATATTCTTCGATATCATAACAATAACAAATAAATAAACAGAAAACTACCTTTTCTCTATCTATTGATGTTCCGTCACCGTGCCGGATATTAGATACAATCGAGTCCAAACATTTTTTGCCGGGGTAGTTAAGACACAGTGGTTCCTATTATTTCGAAAGTTTACATCCAGAACAGCTAAACGGACGTCTCACTTTTGCGGGGGTTTTCCAGTCGAAACAGCAGAAGTCCCGAGATGACAATATATTTATACCCTGCTGAACCCCCAAAGTCTTTAAACATGAGGAATTGGATGAAATTTAGCTATCCTGCTTATTTCTCTCATTGTATCTTTTTAAGTGTCTTCAAAATCATGAAAATGGTGATATTTCTTCGTATACTTGCATTTTTCCAAATACACAATGTTGTTTTTTAATAAACATGTGAATGTAGATTCAAAGACATGTTTAGCTCGTGTCATTGTATACAACGATTTTATAATATTCTGAACATGAAATTATATAAGATGTACTAAATATCAGTATCCAAAAAGACACCAACCTCACACTATATGTTCCAAACAAATTAACCAAATTTTGTTCATTTATTCCTTTTGGTGTACATTTAAAAAAAGGAAGCACTGGAACCGTGATAGCCTGGAACTTATCTATATCACTATTCAGGGTTTTTAACTTTTCAAATAGAGCAGCATCTCGTCTTGTTTTCTCGAGTTCCTTTCTCTTTAGATCCAAACCAGTTATCCCCTGTAATCCAGTTTGCGCTTCTATAACCATTTTTGTCAGTTTTTCCCGTTCCTGCTTTGCTTTACTATTTATATCGTCGATCATTTTTTGGACTACGCGATCAATCATGGCTTTCATTTTGTGTCCTTCATCTCTTATTTCTTTAATGACGGAGTTAACGTCCAAATCAAAAGCTTTCAGTTCACTGTTTATCTGTGTTACGTTTTTAGTTGCAATGTTAAGTCTTTTTTCGATTGCTATGTTGATGTCCTGAGTCAAATTGGTGATGGAATCATCTATATTAGCGACTTTATGACCATTGTGTTTACCTGAAATACATCTTCTACAAACAGGAACATCACAGCTAGAACATAAAAAGATAAAATCCTCGTCGTGTTCTTTACATTTGGATTTTACTTCCTGGATCAAATCTGAACTACTCTGAAATTCATGATTTCTTGAAACTTTTTGTCTTTTGTGTAAGCCTTTACAAGTCTCACAAAAATACTGTTCACAATCAATACAATAATGCTCAGTTAACGCACTAGAACAAATATCGCATGTTTTGGAAGCTACCTGCGCCATGTTTCTTTTAAAGATAGTAACAGATTTACCTGAACAAACTTGATTTGTGTATAGATTTTTTTTGGTTCATAGTTTAAACTTACGTTTAAAATATGCTATCAAAAATCAAAACACTAGTCAGGGTATAGATAACTAGTTGAAATTACATAAACTTGATTGTGTATAACGTGTGCTATTTTATTATTGTTTATTTATGTCTGTTAAATATGTACGTTTTGAATAGTTATCTCTTCGTTGGCTGTTACACTCACCAGCATGTCCGTATTGTTGTAATTAAAGACTTTAGGATAATCGTCGTGAATGCGAGGAATGCCAGTACACATTATGTATGGAAAGTTTTAATTCAGATATTCCTTAATCTAATTCGATCACGCAAAACTGTAAATCCTGAAATACCATTTTTACTGTATATGTCATGTTTTTCTAATGTAGACGATAACTTTATGATTTGAATAAGAAATGATATATCAAATGTATTGTTTTTGTAGATTTATGATACAGGTAAAATTGAGAATGGAAACGCGGAATGTGTCAATGAGACAACAACCCGACCAAAGAGCAGAAAACAGCCTAAGGCCAACAATGGGTCTTCAACACAGCGAGAAAATCCCGCACCCGGAGCAGGCTTCAGCTGGCCCCTAAATAAATATGTGTTCTAGTTCAGAGAAAATGAACGTCACACTAAACTCTGAAACATATAGATGAACCAAAATTTAAAAAAAACATACGAAACTAACAAAGGCCAGAGGTTCCTGACTTGGGACAGGCGTAAAAATGCGGCGGGGTTAAACATGTTTTATGAGATATCAACCCTCCCCTTATACCTCTAGGCAATGTAGAAACTAAGCAAAATGACAATTATAACATAAATTAACAAAGGACTACTAGCAGTTACTGACATTCCAGCTCCAGACCTCAATTAAACGGATTGAAAGATCATCTTCATCATATGCAAATAAAAGACAAGCCCTCCCGTTAGGGGTTTAGTATCATATCATCATAAAATATATGAGAAGAACATAACCATTATCGTGCCAACAACTGGTTTTAGAATAAATGTGTTTATTTCCAATGCAAAGACCCTATGAGTGAATTATTATTAATTCAAAAAAATGCCATTTTTGATGAATCCACAACAGTATCGTAACTATATCCCTTCTGAATACGTCTGTTTAAAGGTTTGGTTAGCTTTTGAGGTGAATGACGACATTGTAACAGATGCAGACGGGTTTTTTATCGCTCAAACAACCATCCAGATGTAAAATTGATAAAAAAAAATAGGTAACTATTAAGAATAATTCACGAACAGAGCGTACAGGAGATTTAAAAGCAGCAGTAAAGTGTACCATTTAACATACTTATTAATGTTGTATAACTTAAAACAGGTTTTGCAATTCAGTTTGTTGATACTAAATTAAATTTCACTATGCTGCTTTCGTTATGCGGTTCCATATTTACTGTCAAATAATAATACTAAACTTTCATTTTTACTGTGGTTGCGATTTCAATTGTAAATGCGGTGTATTTTCGCAGAAGGAAATTAATTAACTTTCATCAAAAAAGTCTTGATTCAGCCAACTCGCTAACAAACTTAATCTTCTTAGCACATCTTCTTATTCATATTTGATAATGACATAAGGAATTGTTTATATATATATGCTTTCTTTGTGAATGAAATTCTGAAGTTATACATCAAATAATTTCGTAAAAATAGCATGTATTGCTAAAATATTTAATTCTATTTCTCTAATCTTTCGTCCGGACCTGTATGGTAAAATTAATCCATTCCTATGACAAGTCATTATTTTATACATGTATATTGGACAGTTTAAGCCTTTTCAAAGGTTTAAATGCATGACACACTTTACATTGTGTATGTGCCTGTCCCAAGTCAGGAGCCTGTCATTCATTGGTTGTCGTTTGTTGCTGTATTTCATATTAGTAGGGTGCTCAGTCAACGAATATGATCGATATGGGTTAGCGGAATAACACGCGGCTGTATTGAATATCATTAGAAAGAGGAGAACAAGCCTCATCGAAACATCGATGTCGTCTTTGTCTACAGTGGTTACGATTTTCTTAAATTTGGGTCAAAGGTCAAAGCTAAAATTTCAAGGAAAACGCAGAGTCACGTTTAAACAGCTTGCCGCCACTACATATATGTATTTATAGCAAAATAAATTTAGATAATTCAAAGGATTATAAATATAGTTTCTATAATTTGATTTTTCTGTTGCCAAATATGATTCGAGATTGATATTTGTACTTATACGGTGAACATTTACCATTTTTATGCAGCTGTTAAATAACAGTGACCTTGACCTATTGAAATTTCCAAATTCGGAATTTTTACATAAGATTCGATACAAGTGATCTCTACAAATGTTTTTTAGATATTAACATTTATAAGTTGCCCTCCCTAATTGTTATTTTTTGTCGTCTTTTGATAGAAGGTTTTCCTGGGTTAATATCCAATTTTTTTTGGTGAGTGTGGAAGCACAACAAATTGTACTTAGTTCCGAAACTGGTGTTATATTAACGCAGAATGGATTGAATTTGCAGGTCTGAGTATAACTTTGCTTTATAGAAATAAGAAATAGTGCAAACGGTGAAAAAGGGGGAGGGTTGTCTATCAAAGTTATGAAAACAAAATGACAATTAAAAACAGATTAATCACTCCATCTTACACTTTTACATGACGTATTTAGCATATATTGGCCTACAATCGACATGAAGTTAAAGATCATCTACAAAAAGGGGGTTATTTACAGCATCGATGTATGTTACAAACACTTGCAAACAACATGAATCTAATTAATATATATAGATCTCTGATTTCCTTATCCTCATATAATTTATATATACAAGCACGCGAAATCAATCAGAATTTTAATCAGATTTAAACAACATAGAAAAATTGCCGAAGCTAGTAGTAGCTTTAAACGTTTCATTGTCTACCAGGTCCTGGTCAGAGACATAATTTCAGTTGTTCTTTTTTAACTCTGACCGGCATTCGACGCAAGTCGCAAAATGCGAGGCATAGAGAATACAATCTGATGGTTGTGGCGGCAACGGCGTAAACTATTTGTATAGCTTTATATTTCAAAGGGTAGAGGAATTGGATGATTCATACTTTTTATATAGAGCCATTGTGTTACGAAGTTCCCGTCTGTCATATAATTATTGTCCTTGACCTCATTTTCATGGTTCAGTGACTCCTAAAAAACTGTATAGCTTTTTTCGTCATGTTAATGTCTCACTTATCATGAGTTCTAGGATAACTATATGTCGTTACTAATACATGATATCCTTACAAAGTCTACATTTTCATCAGACATGGTTCACCTGACCTCGACCTCATTTCATGGATCAGTGAACAAGGTTAAGGTTCCGTGTATGACATAAGCAGTGGGTCAAAAAATATTGTGTGTATGGAATGATTGCACGATGTACATGTCTTTATGGCAGAGCTCATCTGATCTTTTCCTCGTTTACATGGAACATTGATAACGTTAATTTTATGAAATACTTGTTGTATGACATAAAAATAAGGAGATGTGATATAATTCCCAATGAGACAACTGTCTATCAAAGTTCAAATGAAATGGAAGTAAGCAATTATAGGCAACCGTACGGCTTTCAACAATGAGAAAAACCCATACCGTATATCGGCTATAAAAGATCCCGATATGAAAAATATAAAACAATTCATTTGAGAAAACTAGCGGCCTAATTCATAACAAAACAATTTAGGAAAAACAAATACGACAGACATGAACCAACGACAACCACTCAAAAACCGGCTCGATCCTAACTTGGGACAGGCATATAAAGAATGTATAATTCTTTTCTCTGAGACTTCCGACATAATTCAGTCAGTAAGTGAAGCCTGCTGTACCTGTAGTTTTTACGGTAATTATGTTTATGATCATACTTTTCTCAGACTATTGATGACACCCTTTCATTAGCTTTCAGTAAGGGACGACATTTGATTTCAAAATAGGGGTGGGAAGCGGGAGGAGGATTTTAAAAGTGAATAACTTGGCCTGGTATGAACTGAAAATAAATGATTTTGCACAAGACAGGATGAAAATGAATACTCTGCAACATGAAATGCAGGATAGTTGAGGATACGAATATGTAAAAAGTGAAAATAAATTTTCGCGCAGCATTTCCGCGGAAAAAAAAATGCATAGCAACAAATGAAAAAAAATTGTCAATCCGAAAAAAAAAAATTCTGCCATCAGGTCCTATCCCGCCCCCTTTTCCCGAATATAAAATGTCGTACCCTAACGGAGAGTACTTTTAGTTCGGTACTTTGTGTCTTTTGTCTTCATGTTAGTTGATTTTGTGCTTCAAGCTGATTTGATGAGTCAAGCCATTTCCAACTGGTTTTTTTTTGCAGATAGTTCTTATGTTGTATTGTTATACCATTGTCTAGGTAAGGGGAGGGTCTACAAATCATAAACATGTTTAACCCCTCCAAGTTCTGTATGTGTCTGTCCAAAATCAATTGCCTGCAATTTAGTGATTGTCGTTGGTCGCTGTATGTTGTATCTGTTTTTTGTTGTTCACACAAATGAGACCGATATTTTTTTTTTTCATTTGTATTGTTTCATAAATTGTCTTGTCGGGGCCTTTTATAGCAGATTTTACAATTTTAAACTACCGATCTTTTTTAATTGTATTATTATCACCGAAAATAATCATTCCAATCCGAAACATTGTAGATAGATTGAACATGCATGCTTGACACATATAGGTCATTGGCTTCAGTGGTTCGCTCGTACAAATCTATTGCCAATTCAGCTTTGAAATTACTACAGTTGTGTCTGCTGGTGTATGATTTATAGCACAAACGGTGGAACATTTTTGTTGTCGTTCACACCGAGGGAGGTTTAGGTAGAAAATATCACGCAAGACCATAACATATAAACTTGATATAGACTTGATGTGCCATATTCCGAATGTGAAACGAAACTGACCGATTTGATTCTTATACTAC